TCTTCCACTTTTTGCTAGGTTCATGCTTTCCTTTAAATACTTGAACATATTTATAAAGGTGTTTTAACACCCTGATCTAACTTCTTCATCTGTTATTAATCTGTTTCTATTGACAAATTTTTCTCAAAAATTTCTTGTAATTTTTAAATTGGATATAGGACATTGTGTTTGGGGGCCTTGTAGTAATTTTTAAATTGAATATAGAACATTGTGAATTTCATATTGTTTAGTATTTAGATTTTGTAGTCTTCCCTTAAAGAGTGTTGGGCTTTCTTCTGGAAGGCAACTTAAGTTACTTGCAGATCAGCTTGATCTTTTGAGGGTTGTACTTAAGCTTTGTTCTTGTAGGTATAAAGTACTTTTTACTAGTGAGAACTTAGCCCTACTACTAGAGCATGTCATTTCCAGTTTCTTTACTGAATGCCCCAGTGATCAAGGAGGACTTTCCCCTCTGGCTGGTTGGATCTCAAACATCTCCCCCTCTGAGAATTATTAATTTTATATCACCTTGGTCATTCTTTACCCTGTCTTATGGTGTTTCACCCTATGAATGCACATCTCGGTGTCTTGCAAAGTTTCAAAAGACCATCTATGCAGATTTATGGAGCTTTTAATCTATATAGCATCCTCCTCTTTGGAATTCTTCCTGGCAACTTCCAGCTGCCTCAGCCTCCCTCAGCCTTAATCTCTCTTCCCTCAGAGCTGTCAGCAAGACAACTTTGTTCTACATGGGATCCTCTTTCCTCCTCTCTGGTTCAGAATGTGCCTCCCAGCAAAAAATTGGAGGAATTATTTGTTTCCTTTCACATAGTCCTACGCTGACTGTTATCCCTTGTATGAAAACATACATTTTGCCTTGTTTTCTAGTTGTTTATAGCAGAAGGGTTACTCTGGCACTACTATTCCATCATGGCCTGAAGTGGAAGTTTTTAGTTTATTAAATGTTTAAGTAGAAGAGATTTACACTTCAAAGGTCATGATAAAAAGTAGTGCTGTTCCTATAATAAAAATTTCATGGGAATTTTTCAAATAATACCTGGATTGTATCCATTTTTGCTTAAGCTCCTGGAAAAAAAAAGTCAAAATAAGAAAAAATGACACTTTACTAAAACAATTTATGAAAAGATAATTGAAATAAAATGAGAAGATACGTTAAAAAGTGGTAAGTCAATACACAACCAAACACCAAATAATAATATGATATATTCTATTCTGAATATGACAAACAGTGATCAGTTGGCAATTATTGTATACCACTCTTCTAACAGGAAACCCTATTAGCAATTTTTAACTTTTTTAGCCAACTGAAAACATTTATATGATACTTTATTCAACAAAGTAAAATAAGATTTGGGCTATTTTAACCTGTGGTTGAACAACATTTACAATCAGTCATGTGTCAACAGAGCTATTATGATGATTAAGACAAAGGACTGCGTGCTCTTTAAAAACGACTTTGCAGAATATAAGCCACACACAGCTCATTACCTTAATTTTGTTGGCCAAAAGGCACCCCTCAAAGTACCTAAAGTTGTTAACTATTTCAATGTTTTGCAATAGCTGTGTGTTTTATTTTCAGGTTCAACTGCTATATGAAATATTTCAAACACATATGCCAACTTGGACTTTTCCTTGAAGAGTCTAAGTATAATGAAATGGTCTGCCCATTACAAAGGTGTTCAAGCCTTGCAGCATAGGTTCAATGAAAATTTAACAACTCAAAATATATTTTCAACAACTCAAAAGAGAAACCTAAACACAAATGAAATGCAAAAACTTTATTCAAATAGTTAATAAAACTCAAACATGACATTTTAACTGCAATTTAGAAAGACATTTTGGAATGTTTCAATAAAACAAATGATAAACTACAGACTCCTTGTGTGGATGTATATAGTAGATACTTTCTTTTGTCATCTTTAGATTTTATTAAAGCACTAAGATAAAACTGAGATAAAAAATTAATGTAATATGAAACCAAAGTGATAAACATGAGTGAGAAAATCAAGAGAAATCATCCTAATATAGAGAGTGAATAGTAACAAAAAATGTTTTCCAATCATAATAAAAATAATAATTCAAAGAGTAATCATTTTGCAATGCATATATATATATATCATGTTGTATACCCTGAATATATATAATTTTGTCAATTATATCTCAATAAGGCTGGAAAAAGGAGAAAGACAAATTGCAAATGAAAGTAATAAATAGGTTCTTAAATTGTTTAATAATTAATTTGTGAAAAGTGAATTAAATAAACACATCAAAAAATACTGAAATTTCTTTCTGATTTGATCTCAGACTGACATCCATGAAGATGATATAAAACTTACAATACATGATTCCAATGAGAACACTGATGACTAATGAGTGCCTTCAACTCAAAGAATACGTAAGATTAGTAACTGTGTGAGAAAATTTGGAATGTCATGAAATGTACATATAAAAAGATACCTGATAGAGCTTCCTTAGATTTGACAACAAGTACCAAAAATATATATATCAGAAATAATGAGTTGTGAAGGTGAATAAAAAAACCTTTCAGAACTAATAAAAAATACTCAAAAACCATGCTAAAGAAAAGACTAAATTATCTTTCTATTCAGCTTTAGAAAATATTACAGACTATTGTCAGATGAAGAGACAATTAAAGAGTACATAGTGATAAAATGTAGGGGAAAAAGTATGAAGAGGTGTGCCTGGAAGTTAATTAATAAAAATATATGTTATTTTAAAATTTTGCATTATTTGTTATATTTTTCAACTTTCAAAACTTATGTGATTTTTCTTAGTCTACATATTTCACTTTTGTACTTCATCTTGTACTTATAAATGTTATTCTTTTTCTCAAGGAGCCCTCACTCACCAAATTGTATATAAGCTTCAGTCCCCACAAAATCTGAGTCTGCCCCTTCTATCATCATTTCTTTCCCCCTAACTGGCCTGCTTTATTCATTCTAACCCTCTTCTACTCTGTTCATGCTACAGTCTTCTAAAAAATACATGTGTGGGACTGGCCAGTTAACTCAGTTGATTAGAGTGCAGTGTTATAACACCAGGTCAAGGGCTTGGATCCCGATACCGGTCAGCCACAAAAAAGAAAAAAATTGTATGCATGATCCTATTTCTCCACTCTTTCAGTGATTTCCAATTAGCCTTAGTATAAAAACCAACATCTTTAACATAGGATCTCGGTCCTTCCTACCTCTCTCCCTCTTTCTCTCCCTCTGTTCTAGCCACAGTGGCTTCTTGCTCTCAGGACGTTTGCATATGTTGTACTCTGTGCCCAGGAGACATTCCACCACCCTACTACTCCATCAACAAATTATATCCTACTCAAACTTCAGACTTACACTCAAAGGTCACTTCCTTAGGGCACCTTAGACTAGGTCAGCTCCCTACTCTCTTAAATGCTCATTGCACCCTTACTTTTCTTCATAGCATGTCTGTTTGTAGTCACATATTTCATTGACTATTAGATTGTTCATCTCTCTGCCATTAGATTGAAAATTCCATGAAAGAGGGACAGTGTCTCCTCGGCACTAGCCTAGCATCTAGAACAAAGTTGGTACCTAATTATACAATCTCTGGCCTCATCTAGCTTACAATCAAGCCTTGAGCCTTAAAAACAAGAACACAATTTTACAATCTCGAGCATCAATGCAGATGGAACGGGTCCTTTTTTTGTCCAAGAAAGTCTTGACACCTGAATATAAGGATTAGTTATTCCACCAGGTTGAAAAATTAGCCCAGACTATGTCTGCAACCCAACACCCTGGCTGTCTGGGAATAGCTCTGACTAAATTCACAGAATAATTCCTTCTTGCAGTAGAATTCTACTTCCGTTTTTCAAAAAATTCTTTTGCCTTTTTAAAAAATGTAATAAAACATAGGCAACACTTCCTTTTGCATAAACCCTATAGTTGTATAGGTGAGGTTTCAAAGTGTTTCCACACTGATTTTTATCTTATAGTTTAATGCTTTCACAGTTTTTGGTTTTTGTGGGTTTTTTGATGTTGTCGTTGTTGTTGTTTTGCGTCTGGCCAGTATGGGGATCCCAACCCTTGACCTTGGTGTTATTTTCATGAGTTTTAAAAGACTTTTCTTGTCAGACAATCCAGCTTAGAGAAAATACACTTTGCTACAAACAAGGCGGTACATTCTATAGTACTGAGTTGGGGATATGACCTGACAGCACCTTACAAGGGATATTTGTTTTCATAGACTTCAGTAGAGGGGCAAGGTAGCGTTGTTCCAAGTCTACCACAGAAATATTTGGAACTTTCAGTTTCATGGACTTTTTTACCCTAAAGATTACTTAACAATGCGTTTGGACGACCATGTTTCAGGGTTTTTGTTTCGTTTTGTTCAATGTGAATATCTTCCCAAGAAGGCTTTCAAAACTTCCCCAAGGAATGTTAGGATAAAGCTGTCAGGATATCCCTAAATTGTTTGTTTGACACCACGATGTCAGTGGAGGACAGCAGAACATAAGCAGTCTTGGAGTTAAGAGAGCTGGCTGGGAATCCAACTCCAAAGTTGGCAGCTGAGCCAAACGAGAAGGCTTACAAGTTGTAGACAAAATTAAAAACGATCAAACATAAGGGCTCTGAATTAGTGCTTGATGCGGTAGAGCCCAGACTTTACCCACCAGCTGACTTCAATATCCTGTAGGTACATCCCTCCTTTCTGTTTCTCTTGATCGGTTAGTGTTTGCCGACTCTCTCCGGCTTTTCATCTTCTCTTCCCTCCATTTTAATCTTTCCACCAAGCGCTCGGAAACAGATCCTACCAGAACGCACCCCGGGCCTCGGGTAGAAGCAGGCGCGGGTCTCGCTCCGATCCCGGTTCTTCGCCCCTTACCTGCTCCCGTCCAGGGTCCCCCTCCCGGCTGCTCCGGCCCGCGGCCCCGCCCGCGGCCGCCCGTCACGTGACTGCGCGGCGTGCTCCGCCCCCTGTCCCCGGCTCACGTGATCGCGCCCGGGGAGAAAACGCCTGACCGTAGCCCCGGCCTTCACGGAACTGTCTTTTCTCCGTGCGTCTCGTCGGCCTCTCGCCTTTCAGCCACCTGCGCGTCCGTCATCCCCGTCCCGGGGTCTCCCCGGAGCCCTGTGCGCCATGCGGCTCCTGCCTCTGGCCCCAGGTGGGCCCCGGCGGGGCAACCCCCGTCACCTGACTTTCTGCAGCCCAGCTCTGCTGCTGTTGGTGCTGGGCCGCTGCCTGGGGGTCTCCGGGGAGGCGGCGGGTTCTCGGAGGCCTAATGTGGTGCTGCTCCTCACCGACGACCAGGACGAAGTGCTCGGCGGCATGGTAATTCTTCTTTCTGCCCCGCCCCTCCATCTCTCGGCTGACTCCTTGGTTCCTTGCTCTTTCCTCGTCCCCACCCCGACTCCCCGAATTGGCCGCCTTGACCCTGGGTGGATTTGGTTTGGCCACGCGAGGTCCGATACGCAGGTGTAAGGGGCCGTAGGACTCTGTTTCCTCGATTGGATTGATACACATGCACGCACCACACACAGCTTCCAATCTGGACCGTACTGCTGTGGAGTTTGCCTTCATTTCTCGAGATAAAAGTGTAGACGCCAGTTGTGGGTGGGCTGAACCAGTGAGGAACAGGTGCTGGCAAAGAGCACGCAAGCCATGATTGTTTTTCTTTTGTATTAGAGGATCAGAGGACAAGTCCAGCCCCCTTTATGAAGTACCTAGGCCACTTCTGCATTTGTGCCTGTGTACAGTGTCTGTGCCTGATATCTATAAAATAAGTGCTGCAGTGAACTAATCTGGTAGGTAGGCTGTCGAACAGTTGAGAATGTTTTGCCTCACAAGAATCAAGAAAATTCAATTAGCCTAATTGAATACCTGACTGTTGCATTAGCCACTGTTAAGTGTTCCGTTTCTCATCTAATGGGTGCTGTCATGAGACTTAATTCTTGCCCAGAGTTAATTTTGCTTCTGTATCGTAGAGTTCTGGAATTTATGACCTTGAAAACATTCATCCAACCCCTACTCATGGGAGACCCACAAAGCGGCTTGTCCAAGGCACATAAGTAGTTGAGGCAGTCCTCTGATACAGGGCCCCTGTATTTTTCTCATCTCTTTAAAAACTAGTGCTTTATTGCTTTCTTTTCAGTTCTCTTTTTGCTTTCAGCTGAATGCTGAGACTAGGAAAACATTCCAGGCAAGAGGTTTCTAACTTTTACTGTGTGGTAACACCCTAGCTCAGTGTCTTTCGAACTGCTGGTTCAGACCCATGAGTGAGTTGTGAAATCATTTTAGTGAGTAGCTACTTTTTGCTTTCCTGTGGAATAGAGTAGAATAGAAAACGTGTGTGTTACATGTGATAAAGGTAAGCATATCCATATGCGTATATTTCTGGATTGTGAAGTAAAAAATAATTCTTAGGTTGTGCTTAAAAGTATGAAAGTCTTTTCTAGCTGATGCTTAAGATATTTGTATTTTGACTGTACACTTCTTCCTGCCACATATGCCTCATTGCCTTTTAGTTTCAACCCAGCCATGTTGACGTGAGAGTGTCTTGATTTAATTTCCTTCCTGGATTTTACTTTGGTTTCACCACCATTTCAACTGTACATTATCATTCTGCTCACGAAACTCCTTTTTTTAAAAAAAAAATTTGTCCTTGAAGTGTTTTGTCCAGAAAAAGCAAGCCATCTCTATCAGTGACTAAAGAGCTTAATTAAAAGGTCAAGCTTTCATAGCTCTGAAAACAAAATTCATTATTTAAATATAAGATGTTCAGAATTCAGTTTCTTCAGTTCTTAGGCCACAGCTATTGTCTCTGTTTATTTGAGGTTTCTTTCTCTTAGTATGTTAATCCTATTTTCTTTAAACCAGTAACAGATTCTTTTTTATAGGTGTTTATACTGGAGAGAGGAGCCAAACTTGAGTGGAGGGAACAAGTCAAACTTAATGCTCCCAACTCCCTGAAGAATTCTGGCCTCTCTTGTAGCCTCTTTCAGACTATCACTAATTGTCAAACAGGATTCCAAGGGGAAGAGCTAAGACAGTAACAACATTTGAGAACCTACTTGGAGCCAGGCAGAGTGCTTCAGTCTTCACAAGAGTCTCTGCTGTAGATATTGTCCCTATCTTTAAGAAGAAGAAACTGAAACTTAGAGGTGGTTAACTTAAATTGACCAAGGTTTGTATAGATAATAAGGGGCAAAGTTAGGTTTCATGATCCCAGAGCACCATGCTTTTTCTCCTGTTCTAGAATACTATGATAATACTGTTTTATCAGATGTCATTCCACATACCCACACCAGTATAGTCACTTATACCATAGGTCAGAGATTCTTCAGGTGACATTCAGGGATGCCAGTGGGATCACCAAACTTGTTAATTTACATGTAAAACTTTTGTGTATAATATCTTCATTTTTGTAGAGAGAGGGAGTACTCTGGTTTCCGAAATGATTACAGAGCTGCCGTATTTGGCAAAGTAAACAGTGATCAACCCCCCATACTGAGGTCAAACTATTATAGCACTTGTATGATTTTGGTTTAATGTGGAATTTTTCAGCCATCTTTGAAATCATCTTTTATGTAGTAGCATCATCTTTAGCATGTCACTGCATTTATTCTGCATATAATCTGTGGGACTTGGTTTTATTTTTTTGCTCAGGGAACTGTTCTTATCTATTTCTTGATTTTACTTAAGCATCATTATGGTATGATGGGAACGTTGTTCTTCACAGAAGCACAGCTTGCTCATTTTAAAACCATTCACTCTACGACAGAGTGACATTTGGTTGAAACCTCAGGGAAGTGAGGAAAGGAGCCATGATAAAATGTAGGAGGAAAGTAAATACATCATGTCACTGCTTTGCTTAAAGCAGAATGGTTTCCATTGTTAGAAGTTAGCCATGGAATTATCAGAACTGTCAAAACTATTTCAGAGCAGCTATACATGGAACCAGGAAAGTAAATGACTCCTCAGGGTAGTTATGGAGGGGATTTTGCTTAGGATGAGCAAAGTAACATGTTTGCTCATGTGAGAGTATACGATCAGCACCTTTTTCAAGACTGGTGTGTGGCTTTAACCTGACCAGCCACTGTCTTTGCTTAGACCTCAAGGATCCATTTTACATTCAGGTTAGTATGGATACACATACACATTTTCAGTACGGTGTGGTTTCTTGTTTGGGACTTGTTCGATTAAGTACAGATTATGGTTATCACTTTTACTACTCTTAGCAGTATAACGATTATGGTTTTAATATAGACTTCCTTCTTATTTAAACTAAAATCAAAATCCTGTTGCAGCCCTGCTTTATCATCTGGTTCCTGCTTGCTTCTCTGACATCGTCTCCTCCCCCCTTACTGAGCTTCTTCTACCACACTGGCCTGCTTTCTGTTCCTCACAGGCACCTCTTCCTTTCCTGTGGCAGCCTTGGTACTTGCTATTCCTTAAGCCTGGAAGCATCTTCTGGATGTTTGCATGACTGACTACCCACCAAGTGGCTTTCAGCACCGAAGTTTCCTCCTCAAAGTAGCAACAACACTCTCCCCACCCCGCCAACTTTCTTCCAACCAGCTACACTCACATGATCCTGGTTTATTCTCTTCATGGCACTTGTCACTACCTAAAATGATCATTTGTTTACCTCTTAGTTGTTTAAGTTGCTAAGAGTACAAGGATCATGTGGGCAGAGACCTTTTTTTTGTCCATTGTTGCCTAGACCAATGCCTGGTGCACATTAAGTGTTTAATAAATGTGTTATAATTACACAGTATAGCCTTAGTGTAAATCAGGTATTTTTCAGTAGTTTTGCATATGTGTCAGACAAATTCAACAATTAAGTCCCATACAGTCAACTCACATGGTCCTTTTCTCCACTTAAATTTTGCAACCTCATTTCCCTCTCAATGTCCTCATGGCAACACAGTATAGCCTTAGTGTAAATCAGGTATTTTTCAGTAGTTTTGCATATGTGTCAGACAATTCAACAATTAAGTCCCATACAGTCAACTCACATGGTCCTTTTCTCCACTTAAATTTTGCAACCTCATTTCCCTCTCAATGTCCTCATGGCAATTTGGGTTCTTTGTCAAGCCAGTGTTTCATTCAGCCTAATGTTCTTTTCCTGAGGATATCACCCAGTGATGTTTCAAGGAAAGCGTGGCTGGTGACATTGCTTCTGAAGGTTGGCAAAGACCTACATCTCTAGCATCTCCTGGGAGCCTGTTACGGATCTACTCATGAAGTTATCAGAGCTCTTGAATAAGATAGAATTCTCATCCTTTTGAGCTTATGGATTTTCTACTTATCTATACAAAACCTTAGGTTTTCTACTATCTATATAAAACATTGTTGAAAATGAAGCTCTTGTTAACCTTTTTATACATTTGGATTATCAATCTTTAGGGAATTATTACCCAACAAAATATACTTAAAACTGCATTCAGTATGGTCTTAGATTTTCAAAGGTATTTCAGAATCGTATGGACTGACTTAATAAAATACAACTAAAATGGGCCACTTCAATGTACTTTTGCTGTCTGGAATCTGAATAAAGATTATTAATGTTTCTTTCATTTGTGTTTAAGTGATATATACTTTTATCCTCACTCCAGGATGAAGTTAATTGTTCTCCATACTTGATAAGGTCTTAGATTTTGAACAAAAGATGAAACAAGGATATAAACAAAGTAGGTTCAGGGCCGGCCCAGTGGCGCACTGGAGAGTGCGCCGCTTGGGAGTGCTCCCGCCAAGGGTTCGGATCCCATGTGGAGACCGGTTCCGCTCACTGGCTGAGCGCGGTGCGGGTGCAACACCGAGGGTTGCGATCCCGTTACCGGTCAGTAAAAAAGACAAAAAGGAAAAAAAAAAAAAACCTAGGTTCTGACTAGCCTTCTGCTTGACAGGGTTCTTTTTTCACCTGCTTACCATCTGGCTCAAGTCCTTATCCTGAGATGGTGGTTTGGTCTAGAGCAGAGGGCATTGAGCTGGTAGTCAAAAAGTGCATCTGGGCTCCACCACTAAGTGTGTGAGATTTGAGTCTGTAATCCTCGAGGGCTTGTCTGACTTTCAGAATCTAAGTGTTGTCTTACTGTTGTTATAAAGGGTAGAAAGCTCCTTTCATATCATTTCCCACACCTGGCTTCTAACGATGAATTCAGAGATAGTTCTTCCCCTACCTCGTAAGGGGCCTGGTGACAAATAAGAAAAGGGCAACCAAAATTTCATTAGAGTGAAACCAGCATTGCTGGAATAATGCCATCAGCTGTGAACTTTCCCTTTCTGCAAGCATTATGACCCCTGCACTTCTGCACAGGATACACCTGACTGTGACCAAACCTGTTTGGTTCAGCTCCAGAATCACATAGGACTCTCTTGGCTGTTGCTTAGTGTCAGGTAGAGCTGACCATCTGGGGATAAAAGATTGAGTGGGATATAACAAAACATGAATTATGGTCTGTGTGTTTTAATATATTGGAATAATTTAAGAGATAATTACTTACTTTACAGACACCACTAAAGAAAACCAAGGCTCTCATTGGAGAGATGGGGATGACTTTCTCCAGTGCTGTAAGTTTTGGAGCTAATTTAATTTTGTTAGAGTTTAACTGTGTTTATATTCTAAGAAGAAACTCCCTTTGGGAGAATCCAGTGTTATCTATGTGAGTTTTTTCCTAGTTAAATGCCTGATCTGAAGGAAGGACTTTATTTAATGAATATAAATTTTCTTAATTGAAATAATACTTTTTATCAATTGAAGATTAATTGCAAGTATTTTCTAAGCTAGTCTGTTCTACAACTTACAACTAGAGAATTTTATTTAAAACCTCACAGAGGTTGGAAAATGCATTGTAAGAGTCAAGTACCATTTACGCCATGTGAACTATTATGTTAAAACCCAATTAACCCTGATAGCCAAACCTGACAGATAGCACCAAAATATATATGTGTGAAATACAAATATATAAAAATATTGATGCAAAGATCCAAACGCAAATATTAATAATTCATATTCAAGAACCATGCACATAAGCAAGTGGTAGTCTAGGAATGGAAGGGTAGCTTAATATCAGGAAATCATTGAACAGTACCAGAATGTTATGCTTAAGACCACCAACTCTGGAGCCAGGCAGCCTAGTTTTGTGTATTCTCTGGGCCTCTTTTTTAGCTGTGTGACCTTGGGCAAGTTATTTACCTCTCTGGCCCTTAGTTTCCTCATTTGTAAATGGGGGTACTAAAATCTACTTTAGGGTTTTTGTGAGGTTAAATGAGTTGATATATGTGAAGCACTTATATCAGTATCTGACTTATAGTAAGTACTATGTGATGTTGGTTATTATATTGTCTACCAACATGATATCAGTAGTTGAGAGAAGGAAAATGAAATGTTCATCTCTAGATGCTTCAAAGTCCTCTGAAATTTTATCATTCTTTCCTGGTGATTTATTAAACTGTTAGAAGAATACATCCTTACAATAATGACTTTCCAACAGATAGTACACTTTATGCTTAAGACAAAAAACTCAGGGCATGGTTGTTAGGGATGAGACAAGGGTATAGTATCTGTCATTTAATGATGTTCTGGACTGTCTAGTCATTGCCATAAGTCTTACGGAAATAAGTAAAACTATTGGAAAAAAGATAAAATTATCGTTTCCTCTTGTTTGGATTTTCTTCCTAAGAAACTCAGGAGAATTTTTGAAAACTTTTAAACTGATAGAATTCAGTCAAGAAATGAAAAACTAAAAATTAATAACTTTCTTCCATATAACCAGTTAGAGAAACAGAATGTAGGGGTTGGAGAAAAGATTCCATTCGTAATAGCAGCAAAATATAAGCTCTCTAGGAATAACTGATGGTAGCCAGAAGTGTTTAAAGACCTATGTAAGTTACAAAACTTTGTGAGTGATAAAATTAAAACATTTGATACATAGATGTGCACATTTTCTGTGAGAAAACACAATATTATAAAATGTTTATTCCAATATGAGTCCTAACAAGGATTTTTAAGACTCAAGTCATTCCAAAAACTATCTAGAATAATAAATAGGTAAGAATAAGGTAATTTTTTTTAAAGGAAGAAATTGCCCTCCCAGATACTAAAAGGTAATATGAAGATAGAGTAAACAGTGTGGTACATACTGGCCATGAAATAGATCAGAAAACAAAAAGGGAAAGAAGAGTTGCCAATGTAAAAATTACGAAAGTCACACATCTGATAAAATTAAGAGTCAAAAGTAAAAATATGAAGTATTCTGTAACATGACCAAATCCTTCTTGTTATTTTACATAACAAGAGGCCAACGGCCCAGGAGGGAAAAATGAGCAAAGCCTCTGGACAAACCATTCACATAAACACAATTGATCAGTATACATGTGGAGAACATTCTTCCTCACCAGTATTTAAAATGCCAAATCTAATTTGAAAAGCCAGAAAAATGCTAAGTATTTTAAAAGATAATATCTAATTTTGGCACACGTTTGCTTGAACAGCCATTTCTTCCCTATTGGTGCGAGTATAAGCTAGTGTGACCTTTCTGTAAAGTGGCTTGGTGATGTGTACAAATATTATTGGGTAGAATGGGGAAGCTCTGTTGATGACTGTAGTTAATGGAAACATAATTAGGAGGAAAAATTCTGTGTCCAATGCATAAAGTAATACAGGAAATACATAAAGCTACAGATTAGCCTGAAAGTGAACCTCTACTTCTCAGTTACATTAGATTCAAGTATTACTCTTTATCTTCGGTTAAGACATAGCTACTGCCATGCTGTGCTCCTTGCATTTAATTTTATTTCTTTGGCAGATGAGATTAAAATTACTGTTAAGTTATCCTGCAGAAAGAAACCAATTGAAAAAGAAATCTATTCTCTCACTCTATCTGCTTTAGAGTCTCCACTATGTGACTTAAAGCAACTCTGAAGCATGTCATAGGTAAATAGAATCACTATTCCGTGAGAAATTAAAAGTTTGAGTATTGAGCAACTTTCTTTGTTCTCTTTAGAAATGATGAGAAATCCATCTTCCTTCTGTAACTTTGTCTTTTTTACTTCTATTTCCTTTGTAGTATGTGCCAAGTGCTCTTTGCTGCCCCAGCAGAGCCAGTATCCTGACAGGGAAGTACCCACATAATCATCATGTTGTTAACAACACTTTAGAGGGAAACTGCAGTAGTAAATCTTGGCAGAAGATCCAAGAACCAAATACTTTTCCAGCAATTCTCAGATCGATGTGTGGTTACCAGACCTTTTTTGCAGGGAAATATTTAAATGAGGTATGTTGAATGGCCTATCCTTTTTTTATAATAGCTTTTCAAATGCAAAGTAATATAATTCATATTATTTTTTCATTAGTATCAATTCAAATCATGTTAAAGGATTTTTGGTATATGTTGTTTTCTGCCCCTTAGGAACTTATGTGAACATACTTACATGATTTGGGTACTGTAATTATTCTTCCTTTAATAGTCTTGGGAGCATTTATTTAAAAACTGTCCTACAGCTGCTGCTGTCTGATGCATCTTCTCTTTTATCCTCGGAATTCTGCTTGTCGTGTGTTTGTCATGGTATCTTTGTTTCCATTTCTCTTTATCAGACTGTCCTACAGCTGCTGCTGTCTGATGCATCTTCTCTTTTATCCTCGGAATTCTGCTTGTCATGTGTTTGTCATGGTATCTTTGTTTCCATTTCTCTTTATCATGATCAGAGTGAAAAATTTTTTTCCTCTTAGAATCCTTCCTCAGATTTTCTTAGAATCTTTTCTGAATTATAACAACTTAATGCCTAACTCATTTTCTAACCTGAAAAGTGGGAACAGACGGTGGGGAGATTAGTGATAAAGAGAAAGCACCCAGAGCCTGGGGCACTCAGATCATTAAAGCATATGGCTGAGTGACTGGAGTACTGCCCTCCTAGGTCTGGATGGAGAAATACCTCATTGTGACTTGTCAAGGCGAGATTTCAGGGACCCAAGTCCACCACAGTGGCCTTAGCTTTTACTCAAACTCCAAGCTTAAAGGAAATAGTGTGTTTAGGAGTATTTGGGGTTAGCTTATATAGTAAAACTGGTGATGCAAGACAAAAAGAAGATATACATTTTCTTAAACACTTTATCTGTGGTTGCTAGAGGTCTTAATATCTGAATTTTCTGTTAATTCTCCCCCTCCCCCCAACATTTGGGGGAATCTGCAACCTTGTAGGTTTGAAGGAAGATGAGTCAGATTGAAAAGAACCACGAGAAATAGAACGTGTGGATACTAGGTTGTTGGGTTGGGGGTATGGGTCATAAAGAACTTATACTGCTTTGCATTTTGAAGATCATCTCATATGTATATAAAATTAGGTGAAACCTTTAAAGTACAGAATTCTCAGGGATTAAATTCTGCCTCAAATGGACAGCATTAAACCTTGTTGAGATAAAGTGGGATCATGCTGTGGTCGCTTCACTTAGTCATCTCATCAGGTGAATTGAGCTCCAAAAGTAGCTCTCATCAGCAGTACAACTGAAGTAATAGGCTGATAGCTCATGGTCTGATTATTTGGGCTGTTATTAGCCACAAGGTCAGTTGGACTATTCAGTCCATGCCCTCATTAGCTTAGCACTCTTTCCATGAATGGGTTGTGTGGACTAGGCCATGTGCACTTTTTCTGTGGTGGGCCAGATAGTCAACGTTTTAGGCTTTGCAGGCCGTCTGTCTCTGTTGTGACTATTCAACTCTGCCATTGTAGCATGAAAGTAGCCACAGGTACTAGGTAACGAGTGAGCATGGCTGTGTCCCCAAAAAACTTTATCATCACTGAAATTTGAATTTCATGTAACTGTCACATTCCACAAAATATTGTCTTTCGGTTGGTTTTTATATTTTTAAATGGCTAAAAAAAATTCTTAGCTTGCTGGTCGTACAAAACAGCAGTAGGCCAGATTTGGCCCAACAGTAGTAGTTTGCCAGTTCCTGCTTTAGAAGTTCCTAGGATTATAGAGTTCTTTACTTTTTGATTAGTTTACATGTTTGGAAAAATTGAGCACCTACTATGTTTCAGACACTGGTCTAAAAAGATCCTAAAAGTTTCCTATTTCTGGTCTGGCCATGTCTAAGAACTCTGATGTCTTAATTGTCTTGCTTTTCAGTATGGGGCCCCGGATGCAGGTGGTCTAGAACACATTCCTCTGGGCTGGAGTTACTGGTTTGCTCTGGTGAGTGATTACTGAAGTCAGTGACAATTATATGCTGCTCTACAGATGCAAAATATGTTTACACTAATTTAGCTCTGATACTGATATAACTTAGTTTGCTTTTATGATTAGCTGTTTTATCTCCTTAAAGTCTGTTGACGTGTGAGTCACTCCTTTCTGGGATGTTTTTCGTACATTACAATAGATTTAGAAATGCAATTTGCTGTTCTACCTGATCCACATCTGGCTTTTGAACTAGGACATATTATCGAAACTATGCTAGTCTTTTATAAAACCCTAGTCAAAAAATCCAATTCAATATTGACTTGAGTAATTGCCTTTTTTATGTCTTATCACTGTTGAAACAGAATATAGTTTAGCCCAGCATGGATTAAGACTTTCATTTTGTGTGCTGACCTCATAACAAATTCCTTTCGTCTTCTTATAAGGAAAAGAATTCTAAATACTATAATTACACCCTCTCTATCAATGGGAAGGCACGGAAGCATGGTGAAAACTACAGTGTGGACTACCTGACAGATGTTTTGGTGAGTTGCTGAAGCTCTGTAGCTCTGTCCTTGCAGGTTTGGTTCACATTTAATTGAAGACAACTTTTAGTCTTATTTGTTTGTGATGGGTAATGTAAATACAGAATAACTTGATCTAATTGTCAGAGTAGTTTCAGCTGATTAAAAACTCCGGTGGGGGGGGGGGTATATAAATTAGGCTCAGATCTAATGTTCTTGAAATTCCATTGGTTCACATTTAATTGAAGACAACTTTTAGTCTTATTTGTTTGTGATGGGTAATGTAAATGCAGAATAACTTGATCTAATTGTCAGACTAGTTTCAGCTGCTTAAAAACTCCGGTGGGGGGGGGGGTATATAAATTAGGCTCAGATCTAATGTTCTTGAAATTCCGTCTTTGTAGAGGTTTTACTTTGTAGGGGTTTACTTTGAAGAGGTTTACTTTGTTTTACTCTTAACCCCAGTTTTACTAGCAAGCTACAAGACGGTAGCTTCACAGGCCTCATCATGAGGGTGGAGGAACAGGGATATGGGAGTTCATTTGGCATTGTGTATTTATATATAAAAATTACTGAAACCAGGTGAATCTGGGACTTTCTTGTCCTGAGGCATTTCTAATGGCAACATTTTATAGAGCATTTATTCATCGAATAATTCAGCACCTGTTATAGTTGGTGTTCAGCAGTAAATGAAGCAAAGTCCCTGATTCTGTGGAAGGTAACTTTCTGGTGGCAGGTTTTATGTATGCCACGTATATGTATACACTCATTTGTTGCCTTATTAGATGATGATCAGTTAGAGAAATAAGACAGGGTATGGGGGTTACTTAGGTAACATTCAAGCAAAAACCCGAAGGAGGTGACAGTGAGCCATACAGATCAGGGGAAAGAGTGCCACAAGCAGAGGAAACAATAAGTATGAGGGCCCTAAGGCAGGAGTGTACCTGGCATATTTGAGAAACCACAAGGAAGTTGACAGAGCAAAGTAGGTGAGTGGGAGTGTGATAAGAAAAAGATACAATCAGTATCTTTTGAGTTAGTGTTGGGAATAAATGAAGATGCAGATCAACTAGAATAATGAAAAACAGTTTGTATGTAGGGTGCTGTCATTTTCATTAAAAATCTTCTTATAAGCCAGTGAAAAATCTAAGTCCATATGAATTAAAGGCCTGGTATGATGTATGTGGATTTAATATTAAACATTTAGCTTAGCTACTTCAGCTGCCATGATTTATGATATTTACTCTTAATATTTTCATAAAGTTAAGGTAACTTTATCTACCTTTCCCACTGTTCTGGATTAGGTTGACTCTCCTTTTACCTTCTTTAAGGCATCAAATGTATATATTCTAAGCTGCATGAATGTCAGTTAATATTAAAATGGTCAAACTACTATTTCTTTCCTTATGGGAGGCATAACAATTTCTAGGTCATGTAAAATCATCAAGATCTTAATTATGCTCTTCAATTTTTAATTATTGCCTGAAAACCAAATTTATTTGTTCCAACAACATGCTTGCAAATGACTGTGACATACATCATTTGCTCAGATTGGTTAAAAGCTAACATGACCCTGTACTCTCTGTTCACCAGAGGACATTTATCTATTAAGTACTCAACTACTGGATAGGGTAGGAGATGACAAGTGTTTCTATGTGTCAGGCTAATGTCTCCTTGGACTTTCTGGACTACAAATCCAACTCTGAGCCCTTCTTCATGATGATCTCCACTCCAGCACCTCATTCACCTTGGACAGCAGCACCTCAATACCAGAAGACTTTCCAGAACGTCTTTGCACCAAGAAACAAGAACTTCAACATTCATGGAACGGTATCTTCCCCTAACCCTTGAATTAAACCATACTCAGTATGATAAACTGTTTAATATACTTGTCAGGAAGCCTTTGAGCCATGCTGTGGGTTTTTCTTCATGATCTTTTAGAGGCAATTGCACCTGTCTCTAGTACAGATAGTATAAACTTGTTTCACAAGTACAGATAAGCTTCCTGCCACACATCCATTTAGCACCTGGAAAGTCCACAAGGAATGGAAGGAAATGCCATCTTTGCTGATGATAGTAGTACCACTCGGTCTCTCCTGGTAACCTCTCTGCTGGCTCACCTCCCTTCTGGCAGTGGCTGAGACACATCCCTGGGGACTGAGCTGGGCCTGCAGCAGCCTCCACTGAGTGGCCCTCACTAGCCTGAGGCATAGGAAGAAGAGGAGCAGCACAGAGCAATGTGACTGCGAAGGGAAGTTGAATGGGGAAATGAGCCAGAGCAGGGGACATGATTAAAGGCCACAATTACCCAAATATTTGCTTCATGTGCCAGTTACTTATACATCCCTTGGCACAGGGTATAGAGGCAGTTCCCTGGTTCAAAGGCAGAAGGTATCCACTGCCCAGGCCTGTTATCTAGAAATTGTTATTTCTTGTAAGGTTGTAGAAAGAATGACACTTGAAGTCAGACCCAGCGCTACCACATTCTAGCTAAGTGATCTGACCTTGAGCAAGATGCTTAACTTTATTTTTCCATCTAAAGTGAGAGATCCTCATCCCTCATGTGACTACTGTATGAATTAGAGTACACAGAAGCATTTAGCATACTGCCTGGCATGTTGTGGGCATGTGCTTGTTAAATATGATCTTAAAGCTGAGTGAAGCTGGGTTTTAAACTGGAGAGCCATTCTCAATTTGTGTTCCAGTAGAAGTTCATATGACCAGTAAGTTTGGAAACTTTGGGTTAAATAAGTCACTCTGCTACTGGACTTCTCAGAATTATTCATGGTCTAGTGTGAATTTCCAGCAGGAGGATATGCCATATAGCATTTTTCAAACTCATTAACTAAAGAACACTTTGAGGAACATAGTTTGGGAGGTAGTGGTTTGAGGTTTTATGAATAGAGAGGAGAGAATTAATGGTGTATGAGAATGTTTTTGTTTTTAAAAATATGACTTTTTTTTGGGCCGGCCCGGTGGCGCACTGGATAGTGCGCCGCTTGGGAAGCGCGGCAGCGCTCCCACCCAAGGGTTCGGATCCCACATACAGACCGGTTCCCGCTCACTGGCTGAGCGAGGCGCGGGAGCAACACCGAGGGTTGCGATCCCATTTCCGGCCCCCGGTCCGGTACGGGGGCAACACTGAGGGTTGCGATCCGTTGCCAGACACAGAAAAAGACAAAAAAAAATAAAAATAAAAATAAAAAAATAATAAAAATATGACTTTTTTTATTTAAATGGGAAGGATTCTCCAGACAGATTTGGACTTGAAGTTTTGGGAAATTGCTGTGACGGGATTTTCATAATGCTCTAGAGTGATTAATATCTTGGATAGAAAAATAAAGAGTGATGGACTGATTATTTATTAGGAAAAACTTAGAGGAAGGTAAAGTTAATATTTACCCATTTGTAATGGTAGTAGACTGAGAGCATAGGATCAAAGTTGTAAATGTAATCTCATTTTTGCCAGTAGTTTCCCAATGACATTCCTTAAAATCTCTTATTAATGCTGCTAACAAAGGAGCCAAGGCCTTTCGGATGTGGGAGGTGTTGGGAAGCCGAAGAATGAGTGATAGAGTTAATCTGCAGAAATTTCTGTTTTAGAAACATGGGGGAAGGGAGAGAAGGTTTGAAGTTGCTTAAACAGATTCCAGTTCCTTTTTGCTAAATCATGAAATGATCCTTTTTATTGTCTACTGTAGTTATATAGTAGTTTGACTAAGGTGACTTGGTGTTAACATTTTTTTCTTCTAAATTTTAGAACAAGCACTGGTTAATTAGGCAAGCCAAGACTCCAATGACTAATTCTTCAATGCAGTTTTTAGATAATGCATTTAGGAAAAGGTAAGAGCTGCTTCTGCGTTCTCAATATGAGTGGTTTTGAGGACCCTCCAAATCAGCTTTTGGAGGAGTCCTCAAAGCATGAACAGGTGGGCCGAGCCCGTGGCGCACTCGGGAGAGTGCAGCGGTGGTTTTTTTTTTAGAAAGCATACATACATCTCAGATAGTAAGAGTAAGCACTGATACAAAAAACCCTAATTTTAAGTTTGGGCATATGTACACACACATATAAATGTGTGTTAAGATACAACCTTTCTCTTTTACTGAAAGGTCTCAAGGAAAAAGCTTTAAATGCAATAGGCTTAAAGGGCAAGTCTCGTAATAACTTCGTATAGCATACATTATACGAAGTTATACGATATAGGGATGACCGGTGCACTCACAGCGCTCACTGGCTGAGCGCGGTGCGGCCAGTCTCAAAAAGGACGAAAAAAAAAAGCATGAACAGGAGACTGCACCATGCTTTTATGTTTGAAACAAAAATAAGTTGGAGAGATGCTTTGGGGCATCTGCTGCCTCAGAAGCAGGCAGAGATTCCTTTACATAAAGATGTGTAACAAAGCCTCTGAACCCCAGGACTCATTAAACAATCCATTTCTAGGACTTGTTAAAGAATATTGCAAACTGGAACCATTTGGTAGAATTTTTTTTTCCTGTTTAAAGAAAAGGTCACTTGGTAAGAGATCAGCCCAAATATTTGATAAAAGACCCAGAGAATTGAACTGCAGCAAAATATTTGCCTTTGCTGTTTGGAATTTTCAAGAAATTCTTTTAAGCCAATTATTTTAAAAACATTATTTTCTCTCAGGGAGTATTTGGTTTAGAGCAGGAGTCAGCAAACTTTTTCTATAAAGGGCCAGATAGTAAATATTATAGCTTGCAGGCCATATTATTCTCTATCACAACCACCCAACTCTGCAGGAGATAGCACAGAAGCAGCCCTAGATAATATGTAAATGAATGGGCCTGGCTGTGTTCCAATAAAACTTTATAGAGATAGCTGGCAAGCTTTGGCCCATGGGCCATAGTTTGCTGACCCCATGGGTGGACCATTAAACACTGTTGTTGCACAGGCCTATTAGAAGGAGGGTCCTGTTGTAGTGAACTATGTATGGTACAGCTTGTTACAGTTTCTTTGAGAATTTTTCAGTCTCTGAGGTGAAACAACTTAAATTAATTCAAATATGTAATTAAAATATGTAAATTCACATACATATTGTATATTTGTAAAAATATAATCACACTTTATCTTGTAATTACATTAAGCTGTTTGGAATCTTTTTTAAAAAAAAAATAGTAATCAATCCTGAATTGACATCTTTTCCGTCTAATTGCCTACTCTCATCACCAGTGGCAATAAAAAGTAAAGCTAACTGGTTATGAAAAGCCTAGTTTTTCTTTGGAAACAGTTAACTTTGGAATGAATGAATTATGTTCTGGAATTTTTCTCATCTGTTTTTTGCAATGGGAGAGGTCTGGGGAATGGAAATTTGGGATTAGAGCTTTTGGGAAGAGCAGTTTTAGGACTTTTATTACGGGGTAGGGGATGTCTTTGTTTTTACCTTTTTTGGCAAGATAGTGATATCTTAGATATTACCCCTGAAATCCCATTTTCTCCCTCTGTTCACATCCAGGTGGCAAACTCTACTCTCAGTTGATGACCTCGTGGAGAAACTGGTCAAGAGATTGGAGTTTACTGGGGAGCTCAACAACACTTACATCTTTTACACCTCAGATAATGGTTATCACACAGGTAAGAGGCAGTGGGCAGGTACTCCTGTGATCTTTGAGAATATGTCTTTCCTTTTTCACTCGGGGAGTAGCTTTGACAAGGAGTTCTAGTCTTTTTTACCACTATGGACATGCCAGAGGGAGAGTCATGCCCTCAGGACCTCTCCGGTTAGGGGGCCACGTGATTCCCACATGGAGAGACCAGGCTTGAAGCGGGGACAGAGAGTGAGCTTAATGGGTTGGAGGCAGACTTTATGGAAGAGGTAAGAAATTGAACTTGATTTTGAAGGATAAGGAGAACTTAGAGAGTAGGGGTAAGGCATTCTAGACAAGACCAAGAGAAGGTTGTCTTGGGGAAAAAACTCTTTTTTGTTAAATCATGGAATTAGTTTTTTGTTTTTTCAGAACTACAGTATGAGTCAGCTCTGTGTCCTTGACTTACATCCTTTCTACTTGGACCTTCTATTGTTAAATACAAATGTTTTCTTCTTTCCACATCTATAACATGGAATTAGTTTTTTGTTTTTTCAGAACTACAGTATGAGTCAGCTCTGTGTCCTTGACTTTCATCCTTTCTACTTGGACCTTCTATTGTTAAATACAAATGTTTTCTTCTTTCCACATCTATAAATTTCCACTTGGATGGAGTTAACCTGAGGCTTCCTTGCCTAGGACCAAACTGATTAGGCATTTTTAATGTATTGTGAATATTTTAAACACTCAAAGTAGAGACTATTAAAATAACCACCATTATTCAATTCAGATTTTCAGCTGCATGTGGCCAGTCTTTTTCATTCTTTCTGCCCTCCTCATGTTATTCTTTTTTTGCTAGAAGGTTTTGAAGCTACTTCCAGACATTATGTGATTCCAAATGTCAACTGATTAGTTTGTGATTGTGCATCTGACTAGTTTATTCTGTATCAAGATCCAAAGTCTACACACTATACCCTTAGTTTTTATGTCTCCAAAGTTTGTCATTTGCCACTTATTTACTTGGAAAAGTGGGTCTTTTCTCCTTTAGAATGTCTTACATTTTCAGTGTGGCTAATTGCTATCTTGATGTGCCTTAACTTGTCCATGTTTACTCAGCATTTCCTATATAGATTGGGAATTACATCTAGGGACTTGATAGAGATTCGCATTTTCAGGCTAGAATGCTTCCTGGGTGGTGCTGCTGTGTACTGGCTTTAGCATCGAGTCACAAGGCCCGTGGTGTCTGGCTGCCCCACCCTGGGGATGCTAGTGTTGATCAATGGCTCTGGTGGCTCCAGCCTGAGCCCTTCCATAAATCTGCTGTTGAAGCTTCCATTGGTAATAGTTGCTTAAATCCATTATTCCCTCAGATATTGCAAAATATTTTTTTTTTGTTTTCATAAAAAAAATTTATTATAAAGGATATTACAAAGGATACAGAAGAAGAGATGCATAGGGCAAGGTGTACAGGGAAGGGGTGTGGAGCTTCCATGCCCTCCCCAAGTGCACCACCCTCCAAGAACCTGCACATGTTCGAGTTCAGCTGTCTGGCAACTCTCAGAACCCTGTCCCTCTGGGTTGTTATGGAGACAAGATTGGCTAAATCACTGGCCATTGGTGATCAACTTAACCTTCAGTCCCTCCACCCTCCCTGGAGGTTGGGGGGGTGGGACTGAAAGTCCTGCATTGGTTTTTCAGGTGACCAGCTCCTATCCTGAATTTACTTGGGGGATTTGAGACATTAATCAACTCATTAGCATACAAAAAGACAACACTGTGGAGATTCTAAGGATTTTCGGAGTTGTGTGCTGGGAAACAGGGATGAAGACCAAATGTATATTTTCACAATGTCAGTCCACCTGCTGGTCTTCAAATAGGGCCCTTAGGAATTCTGACATATGATTTAAAAACATCATTACAGTTTCTTGCTTACAAATCATCCTTGCTTCCAGCACTTGTATCGTAGTTACAAGACATGGTCCTAGAACCACTGCATCAGGTAGAAAAGAAAAAAAAACTGAGTGATATGGGGGGAAAAAAGCCATCATACCAGTATACTTGGCAAGGATTGCATTGTCATACCAGCATCCTTTCCCACTCCCTCTTCGCCAGATCCAGAAGCAAACAGAAACATCTCGTGGGGACGTTCCTTTAGTCCCACTCGTGTTGACTAAGCACACGCGTGTGAAGGTGTGCAAGCCAGCCCTCCATGCTTTCATCTCCCCATTTTAGACTGTCAGTGTCTTAATGCCCGTTCTACTTCTCTATCAAACTATTGCTCTGAGGAGGAGATCTCTCTGCCCATTACTGGACATTGGTCTGAAGATATGATAGTTGGTTGTCCAAATATGCATATCTTCTGTTCTGGCTTTTCTATAGCACTCCAAGCATTTGTATCTTCCACTGGGTTGGCAAAGTCCAGTCCCGAACCAGTGTCTATTCCTGTCAACACCTATTTGTAGCCCTCTGGGGCTACCAGCATCAGTCTTACTAGCCAGCTATGTTCAGGGCCTTCCCACCAGGGAATCTGCCTCATAGCCATCAGCAGCAGTGTCTGTGTCTTTCTCTGGCAGTTCTTACTGGTACGATATACCTGAGAGGGTGTAAAAGGAACATGTCTAGATTCAGCCCATCTCCACACTGGTGCACTCCCATTTCTACTCATTCCATGAACCCAGGTGACCACCTCAAGGGAGCACACCAGAAAGTCCACTTGGTGGTTCCAGTCACCTTCCCAACCTGGAAGGGGGCTCTTCTGATGGGTATTGACATGTTCTACTTTCTTGTGCCCCTCAAACTTCCGTAGGGTTGTTCCCCACATGGGCATCCTGTTAATAGGCCAGGTATCCCTTGCCCTTCTGCCTGACCATATGGCCACACCTTTAGCCACTGTCCATGAGTCAGTAAAAACCCGAACATAGGGCTGTTCAGTTCTTCAACATGCAGTTCAGCCCATCAAGCTGATTTGTTTTTACCTTCTTTGATCTGAGTGGCATCCTTCCAAATAGGATGTTGTCCATTCATCTTGGACTTGCCACCCATAAACTCAGCAGCTCTCAGGCTGTTTATGGGGCCCTGTAGAATCCAACAGCTCCTCACATAGTTTCTGAGTTAGTCCAAGGGAAAATGAGGGTCCCTGTTCGTATCTCCTTCTTACATTCTGCAGGTCACATGGTCCTGTATAAACCACTTAAATTCTCTAGTCCAGAGTGTCAGTAGTCATTGCTGCAAAGGGCTGTCACACAGATACTTTGTCCATACCAGCACTCCAGCTCTACTCCACACTGTGTGGGCTCAGGCAGTCTTACTGGTTCCCATTTAGCATGTCCAATTAATATTGCTAGAAGGGTAGATTTATATGCCTTCTGTCAGTAAGTACTAGGTAGGGGAAACATTCCCCCATCAGATACAGTGTCCATCCGCATAACACAATCGAGTAAAAGTTGCAGCCGCTTCACTTGAAGCCAGTTCAAATATACCAACTCTCTCCTATGAATGTTTAATTTCATCAACCCTTATTTCCCTAACTGTAGCTTCTGTTAGGACTTTATCAACAGGTTTTGGAATCATGATGCACTGGGCTTCTGTGTCAAGGAGCCCAAGAAAAGTTTCTTCTCCTTGTGCAAAAGGCTTTGGGTCCCCAGCAGGGAGTTGAGCCAAGGGACCCTTGCTGGTTTGTCAGTGTTTATCTTGAATAACCTGCCTGACTACTGCCCCAGGCAATTTTAGGTCAGATTTCTCTTTGAAGTCTTGCTGACTTTTCAAACTCCTTCAAAGTGGGGTAAATACAACAAACTTGTTTGGAACTCCTTAAATGTTGGAGGACCAGCACGGGCTCCCTTTGGTCCATCCGGCCTTCAGTAGTGTTATATTAAGACCTTTGCTTTAATCCCATCAATTTTCATTTTATTCATCCTATTTTTTTTAATAACCATCTAAAGACTTCCACCCTGTTGGAATGAGTCCCATGGTTCTTCCCTTTGTTTTGCCTCTTAGTTTCACCTTTATCAATGTTTTCTTCATACACCATGGAGTATGACTGCCCCACTTTGGAGATGCTAGGTTTGACCGATGGCTCTTGGTGGTTTCAGACTGAGCCCTTCCTGTGAACCTTTCTGCTGTTGAAGCTTTCATTGATGATTGTTGCTTAAATCCATTATTTCATCAGATATTGGCAACGTGCACTTCATAATTCTGTCCATCCTTTTGCATTTATTAGCTGGAATTCCTCAGAAGAAGTTCCTTTAATCAATTATTTGGTTATCTTAAAATGCAGTTCATTCAGGAAAGGCAGAATAATTGTTTTTGTTCCTTCATTTGGCAGTTTTTGAAGTAACCTCATTCAGTTGTTGTATATCAACTGGGGTTGAGTATCATGCACAAATTTTTATGTATTTGTGTTTCAGTACTTTCCAGTTATTATTTTTGCTCAATTTGTCCTATCATAGGTCAGAGGGTCCCTTCTAGTCATTTATTTAAAGATGAGCTCATTGTTTTTCCCACTTTATAGTATTAAGCGGCAAATTTAACCTTTCTATTAAAACACCAGAATTAGTAGAACAAAGTTGTTTAAGTTTTTGCTGTTAATTAAATAAATGAAACAAAGTATGAGCAACGCTTCTATCTTGGCTCTATCTTTACCCTGTGTGTTTTGTTTTCAGGACAGTTTTCTTTGCCAATAGACAAAAGACAGCTGTATGAGTTTGATATCAAAGTTCCACTATTGGTTCGAGGGCCTGGGATCAAACCAAATCAGACAAGCAAGGTAGGTGCCCGGCAAGCTGATGTTGTGTACAGGCAGGCACTTGCCTGAGAAAAGAAGGCTATTCCTCCTGAGAGAAGACGAGTTTGGTTTCTCTTCCCATGAGAATGAAGGCTGATCAGCATAAGGTCTTGGAAAGTGTGTTTATAATATAAGCCTTGGAAACAGTAACTCCTCCTTTTTTTTTAAACTCCCCACCATCCCCATTGACTGTATTTATCCCCTATACTTATGTCACATCAGCATGCAAAGCTTTCCTTTCTCTTTTGAGATTAAATCTTTACTTTGTTGGGGAGCAGTGACTGTCAACAGTGGGTGCTCATCATAATTGCCCTCTGAAATTGTGAAGAAGAAAAACAGTACGTGCATAGGTGGCATCCAAATCTATTCTGATTGACTCACTTGCTTAAGTTTACTGGCGATCCTGCGAGGCGGCCTGGTGGGGAGCACACTTTCCTGTAGAGCATAGCTCCTCTGGCTTTGCTCTGTGTGTGAATCCCTGAGCACCTTGTTAAAATGCAGATTCTGATCTCCGTTTCTGACCAGCTCCCAGGTGAAGTCTGCTGCTGGTCTGAGCTCACTTTGAGTGTAAGACTATGGAAAACATGTCTTCTGAAAATTAACCTTTCCCTGTGAGGGACTCTTCCTTGCTAATGCTTTTCTGCTTTCCCAGTTTTCTCTCCTAGACTGTCATAGTGTACCACATTCTTCTGTTACCATTTCCATTTGATTTCAATGTCTTTTTCCAAATTTGGTACTTAATACTGAGGCACTTTGTTCCTAGAGATCATGGGCACCTTGATGCAAAACACTTTACTTCAACACTCAGGAGATGAGAGTTGATAGGCTCTACCAGTTATGACGTCTCTCCTTCCTGATGTCACAATCTTAGTCCCAGCTCTGTTAAGACCAGAGAAAATGAGCAAACACATAATTTAAGCTAAAAATTGCAAAATGGGTTTCAAAGTGGGTATATTGGTTACTATAGTTTAGTTTGAGGCTTATTGTTTACTTTTTTAAATGTCTACCTTTCACTTATTTCTTTTTACAATGCTCTTGATGGAATTCTGTTAAAATTCTCTTGGAAAGGTAAAATGGCTTTCATAATTGTCTTTTGCATTATTTTATGTTAAGACCCACAATCCTACAGCCAATCACTTTCCACTACAAATTTCAATGCCCTCTAAAGACCTCTTCTTTCAAGGAAGATAGGCAAGTTTGGAAGACCATTAAATCTTAAAATTGTTTTGAGATTGGCACGTGTAGCTGATTGAGACCATGTCAGTAGCCATGTGCATTTCCGAGAAGCAGAGATACTAGGACCAGATATAACCAGTGAGGGGAAGGAGACTGAATGAGAACATAGTGAAATGTGTCAGCCAGCTCCCCATGAAACAAACTGTTTCTTTCTTTCAAATTAACAGTTCCATCTAAATGTCAAAGTCAGAAACTGCACCTTCTCTAAGCAATCTAAATGAAGCCCGGTTCCTAAGAAGCCATTTCAACAATAATATCTAACATTTATTGAGTATTTAGTCTGTGACAGGTGCTGTTCTAAGTGTATTACCTGAATCATCTCATTTAATCTTACCCTTAGGAGATACAGGTACTACTATCCCTCTTTTACAGATGAGAAAACTGAGATACAGAAGTTGAGTGGTTTGCCTAAGATCACATAGCTAAAAAGTAGCAGAGCCCTGCATTTGAACTCCAGCAGTCTGTGTACAGAGTCCATGTACTTAACCATTTCACTAGCTCAGTCAACAAGTATTTATTACAGATCTTGTGCTGGCAAAGTACACCAGAAGCCCTGGATACTGCCAGGAGCAATCAGGGAAGATCAGTTCTTAAATCCATGTGTCGGGGGGGAGCCAGTTGCTTTAGCTGCACTAGTCAGTGAAAGCCTCTGAGGCATTTGAGCAGACTCCTGGGGGTTGAGAAGGATTCAGTCAAGCAGAGGTCTGTGGGAAGAGCATTCGGAGCAGAACAGTATATGTGGGGACACAAATGGAGGAATAAGCTAGGCTTGTTAGAGGGGTGGAAGGTAGCAGTTTTACTGAACTGCTTTCATTTCCTAAGGGAACTCTCACCACCTGGCCTTTGTACAATGGACTCCTCCTTCTGTCTGGAATGCCCACCTGATACCTCCTTCACCTGGCCAATGCAGTTGTCCTTTCAGGCTCCCCTCTGAGAAGTCATCTCAGGTTCCTGCCCTCACATGGGATAGATGCCCATCCTTGCATGTTCCCAGCCGGCCTCACACTTATCACAGCTTGTTCAGTTTCTTTTTTACTCTAGGGTGTCCTAGAATAGAGGAACTACTAAACTTAGGATACTCAGCCCTTAACATACATTGTGGGACATCCACATTGTTGAGTGGATTTTGCCACAGTCACATAGTACATGGCAGAACTAGGACTGAAAATTAACTGTCCTGACAATCTGTGTTTTTTTACACTACTGCACTAACAGATGTAGTTTGGGAAGTATGAAATGCCCCAGAGACAGGGAGTGACACATCATGTGCTGGCAACACAGTTGTCTGAGTGCCAGCCATTCTGTGCAAGTGGCACAGGGCTGTGAGCTGAGCTGTCAGCAGCCTGACAGCCAAAGCAGCATGCGTTGACTGACCAGTGGACTTAGGGATGTGCCAGCTATTTGGAAGAGCAGGGGTGGATCTTATGTGTGGAAACCAAACATTGGCTGTAGTTTTCTCCTCTGGCTGGAAATTAATCTAGCTTTAGATTTGGTCATAGAAGTTCTTCAAAGGGGTTTTTAGAAAGGAAACAGTTAGTAGGAAAACTAGAATGACATGGAGTGGTCCAGGGGAAATAGAACTGAACTTGGAGTCAAGACGACCACCCATTGGCTTTAAGACTTTGGACAAAATAAGCCTCGGTTTCCCTAGTTGTGAAATTGGGAGGTTGTTAAATCTCAATCCTCAAGCGTGACTAGGTGATACCCTGGCTTCTTCCTTGTTAGGGAAGCTGGGGCTGGGGGACAAATCAAGCTAAAGCAGCACGAGATTTGGGGGATTCTCTGCTTTCTCGTGCAGTTACAGTGCTTTTCACTAAGTGGATTCTGGTGCACTTTGAGTCTTTGCTTTGATAGCCCTACATGAATTCTTTAACATCAGGGCTTAAGTATCTATTTGGAAACCTGATGTATTTTCCTGAGATCCTGTTGCCTTCTTGTTCTTTTTAATAATTATGCAGCACTGCCATTTTTCCAGAACTGAAAATATGCAGGTTCAACATATGATATCCCTTGAATTCATGCCCCAGGGTTTTCTAGGGGCTTTTATTTCCTCAGAATGTCTAATATTTAAATCCTAAGAATAGTCTCAAACAAACTGAGAGACTGATTTGTGAAATAATTTACCCTTGGTCTTGTCAAAGCTTTTTCAGTTCCAATCTATAAGTGAATCTTTAAGTTTGTACTTAAAGACCATGTGATAAAAGCAGTACCATTCAAGGGACTTGAAACACTAATATTTCAAGAGTCATTACCATGATGGGTCCATAGAATACATTCTAATTCTGAGTTGTATAAAAACCAGAGATGTAGGTATAATTCTCTCTTGAATTCTTTACTTTACACTTGGTGCTCACGGAAGTCTCCCATTTTCTGACATAGTATGCTAATTTTTTTTTTTTTTCCTTTTTGTCTTTTTTCGTGTCCGGCAACGGATCGCAACCCTCAGTGTCGCACCCCCCCCCGACCGGGACCGGCAACGGGATCGCAACCCTCAGTGTCGCACCCCCCCCCGACCGGGACCGGCAACGGGATTGCAACCCTCAGTGCTGCGCCCGCACCTCGCTCAGCCAGTGAGCGGGAACCGGTCTGTATGTGGGATCCGAACCCTGGGCGGGAGCGCCACCGCGCTCCCAAGAGGCGCACTGTAGCAGTGCGCCACCGGGCCAGCCCCATAGTATGCTAATTTTGAGACTGTCTGCTTTTTAGTCAAACAAAACCCCAGAAGAGAAGAGAATTCATTCATCATGTTTAGGGAAGATGTGGTAATTGTAGATATCTGGAAGTCCTGGAATGATGTGTGTTTATGGTACTTGTGCTGAATCTCAGTGACTCTTGATTTATACTGGAACTTACAGAGCTTCTTCTCCATAGAGCAAAGCACCATTAGAAAGAGCCTCCCATCATACAGCTGATGGCTCTTAGGATGATTTTTGGTGAGACTGGCCATCACCATTTTATATCTCTGGATTTCATTTTGATGTTTACCCTTTTTCTTTTCTTATAAAACTGCCTTGGTTAGTAGTACTTGTGGAGCTGGCTTCACTTCATTCATGTTATGGGCCTCTCTGGAGATCGTGTCTGTCTCTCCTTTCCTCCCATGATTTATTCCATATTCATACCCACTCTCAATGACTGTATTCCAAGCTGTTCAGTTTGCCCTGGGGACTTGGAACTAGGAAAGTTATCTGTAACAGTGGGTCTTGTATAATCCCTAGAGACATGGTTTTGGTGGGTGTTTTTTTCTTAGTAACATATGGGTTGCCTTTCCCCTGCATTGTCTGCCACTGAATGGCAATTGCTGACAGCTGTGGAGACACACTAATTGATTCAGAGCCAGGATATATGTCACTGCCCTCCAAGAGCCATTCTGGCTATCAGGAAACATGACCACTGGCGAACAATGCTCTGAAGATTTTTTTTTTTTTTTTTTTTTTGCCTTTTATGTCTGTTCTTTTGGTTTTGTTTTTAAATTAAAAGTGGCAGGATTACAGGATTAGTCGATTTTTTTTTTTTTTTCTTTAAATCTCACTGGTTGGCCTCTCCCAAGATGATCTAAGTTTTTCCAACAATTTTGAAGACTTTGGTTTTGTTTTTAAATTAAAAGTGGCAGGATTACAGGATTAGTCGATTTTTTTTTTTTTCTTTAAATCTCACTGGTTGGCCTCTCCCAAGATGATCTAAGTTTTTCCAACAATTTTGAAGACTGTTATTTCCTTTCAGTAAATGGTAGCTTATGCAATTCCAAGCTATTAATTTTGTTCCAGTTACTTTTTATATTTCATTTCTTCATCTGTAAAATGGGGGAGGAACACATGAGAATAAACGTTTAATACTTGGCACAGAATGCTCAGTAAACTTTAGTTCCCACTTTTTCTCACTTCCCCTTTGTTTTCCCTGTTGGATTGTCTTCACTACTCTAAGACTTTTTCTAGCATGTGACCCAGCGACTTCTAGGCCTGCACTTAGGTTCTGTTGAGGCCTGCACTGTCCACTACAGTAGCCATCAGCCACAATGGCTGTTCAGCCCTTGAAGTGTGGATAGTTCAAACTGAAATATGTAAAATACCAGATTTCAAAGACTTGGTTCAAAAACAAAAATGTAAAATCTCATTTTTTGGATTGTTTACCTGTTGAAATAGTAATATTTTTGTTATATTGGGTCAAATAAAATATGAGTTTCACCTGTTTCTTTTTACTTTAATGTGGTTTTAGACAATTTTAAATTATGCGACCCCCATTATATTTATATTGGACTATGCTGGTTTAGGCCCAGGAGAGGTATTGTATACAGAAGAAAAATAGTCTAATGAACTGAGAAAATACGGCAAGATATAAATGCAGGACCATGTCTTTAATTTCTAATATGTTTGTTTAAAAACATCTTAAGTTTTGTGCTCTTTAAGGTAACTTTTATTGATTCACTGTTGGGATAAGTATTCTGCAGCCTACAAAGTCTGCAGGAAAAAATACAAATGTTTTTTAGCAATGTTATCACATTGAGAAACTATAAAATGGAATAACCTTTTTAATAAAGCTATTAAATTTGGGGGGCAGAAAACTGATAGAGGCATTCAACCTTGAGGCTTTAAAAAAGTTAGGAGTTTCTTTGAAGCCAAATTTAGTAAACTAGTCTGAATAACCAAGTTGGAAGACACTTTGTATAGCACCATTAGCCCAGTGTTTTTCTCATGATTCATAAGAGTCAAGGCAATCCCAAAGGAATTTTTTTAAAATGTTTTGGTTAATAATAGTATGGGTGAGATAAATATATAACTTCCCAGGGGAATATATTACAAGTTATTAATATTTGAATATATGAAACTGTAGGACCAGAGTATGGGCTGTATAACCTAATGTGAGTGCTGTTTGTGTCATGGGTGGGTTGGGAGAAGTGCGCTTTAGTGTAGATGGAAAAGGAAAACTACCGATTGTGTTCTTGATTGTTTTTTCCTTATTCTTATAGATGCTCGTTGCCAACATTGACTTGGGTCCTACTATTTTGGACATCGCTGGCTATAGCCTGAATAAGACACAGATGGATGGGATGTCCTTATTGCCCATTTTGGTGAGTATAAAAGCCCTCAATCAAGCCTGAGCCAGAACTCTGAAATAAATTTCAGGTTATGTAAAAACCTAAAAATTTAAGTCTTAAATAAGCTATTAAATTTGGGGGACAGAGAATAACATTTGTCTCTGATCATGTGGCAAGAAGGAGTTTTCTAAAAGACTGATTGGACCACATATAAACTTTAGAGTTCTGTGTCCTCCCCTCTTTCCCTCTCCCCTTAGAAAACCTATCATAAACAAAGTTAAGACAGATGACAAATTGGGAAAATATTTGCAACATATGTGAAAAAGGGTAATTAGTCCTAATATATAAGTTCTTAGAAAACAAAGATGAATATCCCAGTAGAAAAATGGGCAAAAAAAGAAAAAGACTAATCAACTCATAGAAGAATTAGAAATGGCCAAAGTAAATGCAGCTTCTTTTTTTTTTTTTTTTTTTTTTTGGTGGCTGGCCTGTATGGGGATCCGAACCTTTGACATTAGTGTTATAAGTCTGCGCTCTGACCAACTGAGCTAACCAGCCAGCCCTGTAAATGCAAAAAGATTACTTCACTGCTGAGCAAAGAAATACTTAACCGAAGGGAGGCCTTTATCACCTGCAAACCGGCACAGATTTAAAAAATTAATACCTAGTGTTTGCAGAATTCTGAGAAATTGGAAACTGTTGAGACACTATTCTTAAAAGTGTAATCAGTATAACCTATGAGAAGACTACTTTAACAAGACATACCACTTCAGAATACGTACATTTTAGCAATTCCATCAAAATTTATGCAGGAAATATTTGAGTACCTACTACATGCCTGACACTGCACAGAGCTATGTATAAAAATGTACATGTAGTACTAATAGAAGAGAACTGAAAACCTAAATATCCAGTAGGGAGTTGGTTAAATTGTGGCACAATTAAACCATAGAGTATTAAGCCAACACTAAATGATGTAGATCTGTATGCATTGACTTGGAAAGATGTCTACCACGTACCATAGGGAAAAAAGGACTTTTCACAACAACATCTCTTTCCCATTAAAAATGTATGTGAATATGCTTAAGCATAGAGAAGTTTGGAAGGATCAACACTAAAATGTTTTAGTTATTTATGGTAGCTCTCTCTGAGTTATAAAATTATAGGTGACTCTTACTCATTGATGTGTCTCAGTCTGTTACAATTAGGTAGTATATGATTCATACAAGAGAATACATAGTCACATGAGTTATGAAACACAAGAAATACTCATGAATCCACCATCCCATTTAAGAATTCAAATATTATCAAAACCAGTGCATTTATCCATGTTTCTCTCCATTCCATTGTTTGCCTGGCCTATGGGGGTGATCACTTTCCTGAATTTCATGGTTATGATTCTCTTGCCTTTTTTTTTTTTTTTTTTTTTTTTTCCGTGTCCGGCAACGGATCGCAACCCTCGGTGTTGCTCCCGCGCCTCGCTCAGCCAGTGAGCGGGAACCGGTCTGTATGTGGGATCCGAACCCTCGGCGGGAGCGCCGCCACACTTCCCAAGCGGCGCACTATCGCAGTGCGCCACCGGGCTGGCCCCTCCTAGATTTTCTTTTAAATGTTTTATAGTTCTGTCGACAAGTCTTTGATGTATCCAGAGTTGATTTTCTTGTATGATATGAGTCAGCGATCCAGTTTCGTTTCTTTTTTTTTTTTCCCTATAGATACTCAGTTGTCTTTTCTGTTCCATCATGTGTCCGTTCCTGTACCAGTATCATTTCATCTTATAAAGCTGTATAATTAAGTCTTTATCTGTATGGGCACACTGCTCTCCTTATTGTTCTTATGGGGATCCTAGCCATCTCTCTTCCATAAAATTTTTCAGATTACCTGAAAAATGTTAGGCTTTTGGTTGGAATTGCACTGAGTCTGTAGATTAGTTAGGAGAAATTTTACATCTTTTAACTTTCTTCATACAGGTCTTACACTGTGTGCTTTATTAAATTTATTTCTAATTAAAAAAAACTTTGACTCACTCTAGGGGTAAAAAATCATTATGCTGTGTATGGCTAATTTCTCTGCACAGTTCTAGAAGTGCCAATTAAGACTTGGCTCTTTTTCTTGTACCTGTTTGGGGACGTTATTCCAATGAAGTACAGTGTATTAGAGCAGTTAAATAGCCAGGTGTAGCTATTTAAATTAACTAAAATAAAATGAAAAATTCAGTTTCTCAGTTGCCTTAGCCACACATCATGTGCTCAGTAGCCATTGTATTGAACAGTGCAGAAACGGTCAGAACAGAAACAGAGAGTTCTGCTGAATAGTGCTGCTATAGACCAGGGGTTGACAAACTATGACATCTGGGCCAAATCTAGCCTACCCTGTGTTTTGTGAAGTTATATTGGAATACAGCCACACTCATCCGCTTATGTATTGCCTATGTCTGCTTTCCTGCTATGACAGCGGTTGAATACATGCAACAGAGACTGTATAGCCACAGATCCTAAATATTTACAAATCTGGCCTTTTATAGAAAAAGTTTAACAACCCTTCCAGACCATTAATCTCAAATGTGGTCACACATTAGAATCACTTGGTAAACTAAAATTCTAATGCCTGGGTCCCACCCCCAGAGATTCTGATTTAATTAATTGGCATGAGATAGAACTTGGCCCTTGGGATTTTTCAAGATCCCCTGGTGATTTTAATATACGGCAAAATTCAAGAACCACTGGTTAGACTTCCCAGATACTCTTTTCTCCTCTGGACACTTGGACACTCAAGTGTGGAGTTCTGAAGTCCACTCCAGTCTGAGAGATAAGCTGTTCCCCTGACTTCCAGCTTCCATGGCTCAGGTTTGGCAGTGTGAGTACTTATGGAGGAGCTGGTGGTTTCTCAAATTTCTAGTGACTCATGATTTCTGAGACCTTGAGCTGCAGAGGATTGTTCAGGTTTCATTGTAGAAAAGTGAGTTAGGAAATGGTTCCTGTTTCTGACCCCCTTTCCGGAGGCCTTGCACAAGCTGTCACCCATTACCCACTGTGCTCACCCAGGTTAAGCATTCTTTAGAGCAATGGTTTTCAAATTAGCAGTCACCAGAAATGCCAGTGGGGCTTGTAAAACCCAGGTTGCTCCCCATCCTCATTGGGATAGTAATTTGCATTTGTAACTACACTGAGAACCATTGTTTTAGAGCAGTGCTTCTCAAGTTTATTATAAGACCAAGGTCAAGGGTTCAGATCCCCATACTGGCCAGTGCACCACCCCCTCACCCACCCCACCCCCCCAAAAAAATCAAATTTTACTGTGCATGTAAATCACGCTAGTATCTTACTAAAATACAGATTTTGGCTCATTAAGGATAGAGTACAGCCTGAGATTGCACATTTCAAACAAGTTCCCAACCAGGCTTTGAATAATAAGGCTGTAGACCATTTTAAGCGCACCTTCTAATCTGATCTCCCTATCTCCATATCTCCATTCCATCTCTAGATTCTGCTACTGGGATGACTTTCCTGAAGCACAGCCTTGAATGTGTTGCTTCCCATCACTTGCCGTTCTTTATAAAACAGATGTGCAGCCTGATGTTCAGGACATTTTCCTGTACGGCTCCCAGCCCGCCTTTCCCCATGACTTTGCACTGCTTGCTTGTATGAAAGCTGCTTCAGGAAACCCCTACCAAGTGTTTTGCTTCCATCCTGTATTCATGTTCTTTTGATCCAAAACTTGCTCTGACCCCTAGATTCTTTTTCTGTTCACCATTTGTGTGCCTGTCTTAAACCTTCCCATTTCAAATGCTGCTGCTGCTTTCCTTCCTCACCGCTAATGTGCAGAGAAGAGCAGATGAGTTAGTGGATGTATTGTACCTTCATTCTGACCATCAAGAGGTACTTTGAACCTATTATAGCCCTTAGCACACCAGCCCTGTCTAATATTTGTTTCTTTCTTGTCCTTGTGCCTATAAGGTTATAGGTTCCTTAGTATGAGCTTAGAAGAATTCTTAGAGCGTATAAACAGTATTATTTATTCTAATCTGGACTTTCAGCAACATGCACTGTGACTTTGATTCTTGCTTGTCTACGTGGTCAGTTTCCATTCCTGACCTGCTTCACAGTAGTAGTCTTGGGAAGGAACTATTAAATGTTCAAAGCATTAGACTATCACTTGTAAAGTCTCTCTAACTACCAAACTGCTCAAAGGTATGATATTCAGTAGCTTTCATAAGCATACGTTTTAGTCATTCTCTTTAGTTACTGAATGAACAGTTCAATTAGTTTTGACTCTCAAAGCCCCTTTAGCAGTAGAGTGATCTTTATCACAGTCTGTATACCTCATAGAATCCTTCGTTGCTCTTCTTTCTAGAGAGGTGCCAGTAATTTGACCTGGCGATCAGATGTCCTAGTGGAATATCAAGGAGAAGGCCGCAACGTCACTGACCCAACATGTCCTTCCCTGAGTCCTGGCGTATCTGTGAGTAGTAGCTTGAATTGGCTGAGACAGCTTTCTCACCGACAACACAGCAAGGTGCTGGTTTAGATGCATCAAGTATGAAAACCTTTAATTTAAGTCCTACTCCTTTGTCACTTGAGTATGGGAGGTTAGTAGATGGACAAAGGTAAATCCGATAATCGTGAAAATGATGCTGCCGACCTAGCATCAATCTGTGCACTTTGAATTCTTCAAGTTTATTTAACAGGTGCATGTGTCTGCCCAGATTCCTATCAATTCCCCTTTCCTGTTTTCCTACCCCTCCCAATAGCAGTATCATTTTTTATTAGAGATGTTGTAGTGGCATCCAACAGATGGGGTCCCCACCTGTAACTGTGCCATCATGAGTGCCTTGCATTGGTGGCAGCCACGCAAGGCACAAAGGTGGTCACAGCCACGTTAGCCTTGCTTTTAGAGAATGGGAAGTGGGCTTCCATTTGGAGTTGGCTCTCCTAACACCAAACTGTTACAATATAGTAAAGAAAACCAAAAGTGGGATAACAGATCCTGTGGAAGACATGAAGAAATAAGTTAAAGTTATAGGAGGGCTCTTCAAAAAGTTCATGGAAAGATTAATATTCTCTTTGCATTGTATTTTGCCACGCACTTTTTGAAGTACCCTTGCATTTGGTAATAAGGATACTTTTAAATCACTACCTGCAAATGATTCTGCAAAGCTCATTTTAGCTTCTTTCTCCAACTCTTTAGGATGACAGTTCCTAATAGTAATAACTCGTTTGAGTGTTGATTTCTTCTCCTTGCCAGCCCATACTTGGGACAGCTGATTCCTGTCAGGACATTAGCAGGGAGGGACGGCAACAGCCTACACTTGGGACCACCACATATTCCTTAATCAAGTCAGCTGTCATAAGGAACAAAGCCTCACATCTATTTTTGACTACTGGCTTCTCTGTGGAAGGTTTCCTCATTTCTGTCATATTCCATGTCTGGCTTGAGCTAACTTGGTTTCCCCTGTAGGCAACTAGGTATTTGTTACTATGGAAGGACCATCTTCATTTAACTTTTTGAATATCTCTACAGCAATGTTTCCCAGACTGTGTATGTGAAGATGCTTATAACAACACCTATGCTTGTGTGAGGACAATGTCAGCATTGTGGAATTTACAGTATTGTGAGTTTGACGACCAAGAGGTAAGAGGGGCTTCTGCTTGTACCTCCCCGACCCCTCTGTCTATGGCCAGTGGTTTGTTAGTTGGACTTGGTGGCAGAAGAGCAGTTCCAAGTATGCACCCTAGGGAAGATGTTGTGTTTCTTATCTGTACTTCAACTTAGGTTTCCTTTGGTCAAGAAAACAATTCCATATGGCCATGCCTCACTTCTCTGACTGTGATGTTTCTGGATGGGGTTTTCTCCACTCCCACTACTGCCCAAACACACACTCTAAATGCACAGTTCTCTTTTTCAGAATGATACATGGCTGGTCTGTTAGTTTCTCTGGTAGTTCGGGGTAAATGTGAAGCACTTCAACTTGTATGGTAGTGAAATAAATTGGGGCATTTCCTAGAAAGCTTACAGCAACTGACTTATTCAGAAACTCCTCTTCCCACTATAGCATAATCCAGTGCTGCTCAAATAGATTACAGTGAGGGTCAAAGGCCCAGGAGCTCCATCCTTGGAAGAAGGTGTTATTTGGCCAGCACGTTCAGTGTAGATTGTCTGGAGCTTCCCATGGACTCCAATCCCTATGGTTTTATCCTGTTTGTCAGTATGTGCCCACCTGCCCCATCGGTATCCCTCATCCTACCATATGGAGCAGATGCTCATGTGTGTTTCATCTGCGAGAAATTGACTCACTGCCCATCCTATCTGCTGCTCATAAGCACTTTGCAGAAGCAAAGTTTCCCTCAAACTATTCCTGTTCCCCTCCCTCCTGATGTTTATCATTTTGATAACTACTTTATAAGCGATAGTCTGAGGGCAGCTACTTGAAGCCATTATAGGCAAAATTTACCTAACATCTTCCCAGCCTGTCATTTGACTCCAGTCTGGAGAAGAGCGCGCAGATTAGAGGGGGGAGCACTGATATTAGACAAGTCTAATGTTAGAAATAGTCATTAGTAATGTATCCTTCCCCAGTTGGTGTTAAACATCTAGAACTACTTTCTAAAACAAGAAAACAACATTATGTAACACAGGTTAGAGTACTTTCATATCCGTTCTCATTTGAATCTCACAATTCTAAGGCGAAAATAAGCCTTCAAATTTTAACTCTCACTTCAGCCACTTCATTACTAAGTCTTGTTTCTGAAGCCCTGCCACTTGAGGGTCCTGCCTTCTGTTCTCTGCTTTAATTACAGAAGGGAATAAGCTTTCTCCCTCTGCCCCCTCCTGACTGCCTGAAGGCACAGGGTGTGCAGGGGGCCCCTTTCCAGCATGAGGCTATAGACCCCAAGCCAGTAAACCCCCAGAACAGATGCTCCGTTGCCTCAAGTATACACGGGCACTTTGAGGATCTTGAGACCATATTGATAGTCTCTGGGGCCTTGGTTTTTATCTACTTCCTCCCTTCCCATTTAGAAATAATCCACATCAGGAGTATTTCTTCAAATATAACCCTTGCTCTTTTCTCCATCCTTTCATACCCTCTAGGTGTTTGTAGAAGTCTATAATCTGACTGCAGACCCAGACCAAATCACTAACATTGCTAAAAGTATAGACCCAGAACTTTTAGGAAAGATGAACTATCGGTTAATGATGTTACAGTCCTGTTCTGGGCCAACCTGTCGCACTCCAGGGGTTTTTGACCCGGGGTAAGTTAACTGTTTCTTCAGTTACTTTGCTGAGGTGTCCTTAGTGGTCACACTGTTCTTGAAGGCAAAAGGAGCCTGTTGGGTTCTTTCTGCTTCGAGCTGAGCAGTGTTTATCATTCTCCTACTTTAGCGTGGGAATACTGTGTTCTTAGCGTCAGCTTGTGGTGCTGGGGAAACAGGGTGTGTGAAACTTGCTGTCCACTGCCAGTCGCTGCTTTAGCTGGAGGCACAGCCCTGCTCCCCACCGCATGGCCTCTTCCTCTGCCCTTGCTGTGATTCTTCTTGTGCTACCACTTAATCACACTGGTAACGACTGGGGCTTCTTCAGGCAGGCTCTGACTTGCCCTGTTCCCTAGAGCTTCCAAGAGCACGTGCCTTCATTTCATTTCTCAAAGCCCCCAATTATAAAAACTTGAATGTTTGCTAGTAAGTTTAATACATTAAACACACACAATGAAAATAGAAGGTGTAAACTCAAATGTTGAAATGTGTAAGTCCACTGTAGTATATGGAGTTAAAAAATGTTTAACTGTCACCTGCCAAGTCAGATTTGTTCCTCCTACTCTTACAACTCTCAGTGACTTTTCAGCAGTAGCACTGGTTGTCAGTACACCATGCATTTGGGCTGTCTATGGCAAGAAGCATGTTGTTTATTTTTCGCTTAAAGATTATGAAGTTAAAAATCAATTTCACTGCAAAAGGATTATTTCAGTTCTTACACTGATTGGAGAGGGGGAAGAATGATGTCCTAAGCTGATGGAAAGTTGTAACTTAACTATATAGCCATTTTCATGTTTAGTTATATATCATCAGCCCAGATTATAGATGAATGTATTTGAATGAGTAGAGAAACTGGATTATAGACCATTTAACTAAAGAAATGTAATGTTTGCTTTTAAATAGTGTATATAGAGCCAAAGAGACATGGATACCAGTAAACTAAAACCAGATAGCAATATAAAAAGACAATATTTTTCATTATTTTATATTACTTAAGCTAAATAACTTTTTTGTATGGATAATCCTGTTAGTGCAGTAAGATTGTGCTAGTAAGCATTTTGACTTAACTTTGATCTTTCCTCCAAGTTAGTGAAATAAATCCTAGCTTGATGCCAGTTCTTTGAAATAGGAAGTTCGGTCTCTAAAATAAAAGAACAAGACTCTCAGTTGACATGTACTGAGTTTGCAGTTTCCAACAGCTACTTAGCTCAGAATGTTTTATCAAGCCAAATAAAGTTAGATGTCTATAGCAGTTAATGCTGTTTAACCATATACTCTTCGGCTGATTCTGGGAATTTAAAGCCATTGTTTGACTAAATCTTGAATGGAGAGTCAAGGGACTTGAATCTCTTAGATGATGGTGTGCGGCCAACAATCCCTGACCATTACGCTGCTAGAACATGGACCTGCCATGCCAGCATTCAGTTGGCCAGTGCAAGCCAGATGCAGCAGCTGCCTTGTTTCTTCTGAATATCTGGCTCTAAATGTTAGAAGAATTCAGTCATAGGATGTCTATACAGCCCTCAGAGCCCAAACAGGTAAATTTCAAATGAGGAAATCGAGCTTGGAGTTGTGATTTGCCCAAGGGTCACCCTATAGGGTACTGATATACATGGTCTCTTATTTCCTAAGTAAGTTTTGTTTTTTAACTATAACTAATTGGCTTGCTCACATTCTAGAAGCTTATAACTAAGTTTTAGATGCTGGCTTTGCTTATATTAGGTTGAGCTATTTAAACACCTGATTTTCTGTTTTAAATTCCTTAGCTCAGATTGTTCTTTCCTACCAAACATTTAGGCCTATAGAATCCTCCAAAAATGGGGTCAGCAACTAGATCCTGTGGTCTCAGTCCAGCTACCACTGGTTGGAACACAGCTTACCCATTCATTTATGTATTGTCTGGGCTGCTTTTGCACTTCAGCAACAAATCAAATAGTTGGGACAGAGTCTGTATGGTCCACAAACCCTATAATATTATCTGGCTCTTTACTAAAAAAGTTGGCCAACTGTTGCTCTAACAGTTTGTCCCACAAGGTAGGAGTTAAGAGTAAAATACAGTGTTATTTCTAGCCTGCACATCTAAAATCTCTTTCTGGCCAATCTATATTCTTTACATCTGCCAAGTCCTCACTCAAGTTAACATTCAGCATTTGCTCTAACTGTCCCCTTAAGTGGTAAAATTACTTATTTTATGTGCCAGAAATCTTATGTGAATTACCTACTATTTTATTGGTGGCTGGAGAGATTAATGACTGGACTAAGTTCATAAAGTGCCAGACTCACACCCACATCTGCAGTGCACACTTGTGCTCTTCTCTGTCACAGTCTCTGTGTCTCAACTGTAAAAGAGGAAGGGGCTTGGAAACTGCTGGTAGGGCTTTCAGCAAGGGCTGGACTCTTGCATCTGCCTGCTTTATACTTTAGGTATCACCCCCCCCCTCCAAAAAAAAAAAAAAAACAGCTCCATGTTTCTCCTCTCAGCTTACACTATGTGGTTTTGTGGTTGCTGACCTTTGAGAGAAATGTTCTTACTATTAAGTACTTAAGTTTTGTACAGACTTCCCACTAGATTCCCTTCTGGTGATTGTTCCTCTTATCCCTTCCTGCCGTCCTTGCCACTGGATAATATTCTGGATGAAGTATCAGCGGCTAGCTAGAGTTAATGTGACATCCTTTTTTTCCCTCTCCAGTTACAGGTTTGACCCTCGTCTCATGTTCAGCAATCATGGCAGTGTCAGGACTCGAAGGTTTTCAAAACATTCTCTGTAGTGACTGCGCCCAGCCTCTGCAGTTGGATCCCTGCACGCCTCTTTCTGATGAAGTGATCATAGTAGGTGTTTGTAGATAGTCTTCAAGCCCATGCCTGGAAGAGTTTCTGGACTGGTTTTCGCCTCTGCAGTTGGATCCCTGCACGCCTCTTTCTGATGAAGTGATCATAGTAGGTGTTTGTATATAGTCTTCAAGCCCATGCCTGGAAGAGTTTCTGGACTGGTTTTGTTTGAAGTCCTGTTTGAAAAAGCAACCCAATCAGCTGACTTCCTTGTGCAGCGTGTTAAACTGTGAACTCTACCCATATGTCAGGAGTGTCTATCCCTGTCTCTTCCTTCTGCTGATAACGAACACTCCCCAGATCTTTGTTCTCACCATGTCCTTTCTGTCTTGGAGCCACAGTTCTTGATTATTCCCCATGTGGTCAAAGTCTGAATTTGTAAACCCATTCAGATAAATGGCAATCTCTTAGGGCAAAAAAAAAAAATCCACAAAACACCTTTTGGTTCATAGCTTGACCTTAAATGAAAGGACCTGCATAGCATTTCAGATTGAGCACTTCACTATCAAAAATACTAACGTCACGTGGCTTAAAGAATAACAATCAGAGCCGAATGATCTGATTTAGAGCAAGTACCATTGTTTTTAGATAAATAGAGATATAGTTTATAACATCCATCACAGTGTGATAAGGTTGCAAATTCAAAACTTGTCAAGCAAGCTCTGTTTGTTTATTTATTTTTTTAGAATTCTAAGCTGATGCTGCTCTGAAATAGCTTGTGGTAAAAGCTAATTCCAGGTAGCTCTTGAGGGTGATAGCTGTGTACTTTCCAGTGGCTGCTGACCACATTGGATGCCAGTTAGCAGCAGAAGTATTAAAGAAATGTCTCTTGAGATTTTCCCCTCTGAGATCTGAAAAATGAAGTGGCTTAGGTACATCAACGGGGGGAGACTGCAAAGGACTGGTGTTTTCTGAGGGCCTATCTGCAGACAGGACTCTTGGGTTGGCAGGTGGAAGGGCTGTACTCGGGTGAATGAAGTAAGTGCCTGTCCAGCAGGAAGCCTGAGTTTCAGTTCCTTGCATGAAGTTGTTTGACTCTCTCTGCATTTTGCTGTCATTCTGTTACTTAAGATGTAAAAATTTCTTACAGTTGGTACAAAGGATCAACTACTTTATCCTACCTTCTCCCCTTTCAGATAGGTTCTTTGTGAGTTTTTGGAGTCTTGAACAATTAGGGCCCCACTCAGTACTCCCCTGTCAAAATCAAATCTGTTTAGAACACCCATATTTTTGTTTCTTGGCTCAAGAATCAATTCCGTTTCTAATGTTTTCTTCACAAGTCTTGGTGGTGTGACAGCAGGGGAGGAGGAAGAGCTGTGGTTTATAACTTGTTCAACTCAGGCAACAAGTGATTTTAGCTTTACTTAAGGTCTTCAGTCAGGCTTTAAGCACTTTGTAAGACATGGTTGTGAATAACTTTTCTATCAGAATTTCCACACAGCCATGTTGAGTTAATAGCCATTGGGTTTGTTCCTTTACCTCACATGATCCCATCAACTGGTGGTATCTAGAGGTGAAATAGGCAAGCAGAATGAACACCTCTGATGTGAATGTTTTAAAGAAGAAAATTCTAAAAATTTTGTAATTAAAAGCAAACTACATTGTTGAATATATGGATATGAGCTTTATTCTGCGTTTTGATTCTAATCAGTCAACTTCCACGTTAATGAAAGTTGACCATAGTTATTCCCAAATAAAAAGAAACCAACTCTTACCAGGTCTTGGACTGTGATGTCATATTATTCAGTTTTATAATGCTGGTTCCTGAAAGCAGGTGATGTTTTAAGAGTGACATGTCAGCTGCCGATAGCATCTCTGCCATCTGTTCTTACGTGCAGCCGGTGTGTTTGGGTGGTGGGGATGTGGTGAAGCCCTCTCTGAACCTCTTCTATTTTTGGTACATTTCCTATTTAACCTTTGAATAGACTCTAATTTTTATTTTTTCTTTTAGACTGGGTTTATTCTGGATCTGTGCTAAAATAATCTTTCATAAAGAGACCACAGTTTATAGCCTAATAGACTACAAAATGCACTGATGTTTTCAGAATATTTATGTACAAGGGACCCACTGCAAGAGGCTTGCCTTGTTCTCTTAATTGGACTGATTTTGATTTTGATTAAATCAGTTTCCCTTTAAAGAAGGTCAGATTCATGTCCATTGTGTCCTTCAGAATAGAGAATCATATAACCATCAGGAATGAACAGAGGCCTTAGGAATGAGAGAGATTTTGCCTTATAAGATTTCCTATTACAAGCTCTCCCTCATATACAGTAAGAAGGTCAGATTCATGTCCATTGTGTCCTTCAGAATAGAGAATCATATAACCATCAGGAACGAACAGAGGCCTTAGGAATGAGAGAGATTTTGCCTTATAAGATTTCCTATTACAAGCTCTCCCTCATATACAGCTGCAAATTAGGGAACACCTTTTGAGCATCTTTGAATTTGACAAATGGTGCTATTTGCAAACATATTTTGATTGGCAACACTAGGGTTTTTGTACAAAATAGTAGTGATAGCCATGGAAGTTATATTTTAATCTGAGAAATGTTCTTAAATTTTTTAAGTGTCTAAATTAAGGATTAGTGCTTTTTTTAATGAAAGACAGTAAGTTTTGTCCCAGGATCCTTATTAAGAGAAAACAAAGGATATTTCAGCTGACCAACCAATGGAATTAGATGGGTATATTTGGGTTCTTTAGTTTTATCACCAATTAGTTTTTACTGAATTTTGTAAATTCCTATGTTTGCATCATCTGTTCTTAGAAGTTATTCTGCCCTGGCTCTGTGTCTTCTCAGTCATTTGACTTAGAAAGTGCCCTTCAAAGGACCCTGTTCACTGCTGCACTTTTCAATGAATTAAAATTTATTTCTGTTCTAGTGGGAATGTGTCCTTTGTTTTAGTCCACAAGTAGTTTTGACAAGATGCTTTTTTTTCTTGATACTGTTTAATGTTTCCATCACTCACCTAGTACTGGAAATGGGCTGTTTTCCTCATTAAATTCTGTAGTCTCCACCTGCATTGCCCTTACATATATGGTCCATACAGATTGATAATCCCTGAAAGAATCACTATGTAGGAGATCCTTCTTGATAAATCTTTATTCATTTATAGCTTTGGAGAAAGTCTTATCTTGGCTGGTTTTCAAACAGACGAAACTCACTTTCGAAGGTACTTTGCCTTGATATCCAGTCATGTGATCCATTGCCCTAAACGAGGAATAACTTAAGGGGTCAACAAACTTTCTCTTAAAGGGATAGATAGCTCATATGTTAGGCTTGCAAGTTTGTGGTCTCTGTCACAACTCCTTAACTCTGCTGTTGTAGCACAAAAGTAGCCATAAACAATATATAAATGAATGTGTGTGGCTATGCTCCCATAAAACTTTATTTACAAAAACAAGTAGGCTGTAATTTGCTGATCCCACACCTGGTAGATTGCCTCATATCTCAGCAATTCTGAATACCAAGTAGAAAATAAGATGTTAGGAGACACCTATAAAGTTACCAGATTACTATCAGGAAAATGGATAATTTGGGTATGTGACAATGTTGAAGTCACTTATAAGGGTCTAGGATTTGATTTGACCCTTTTGGGGCCAGCCTGTGGCTCACTTGGGAGAGTGCGGTGCTGATAACACCAAGGCCACGGGTTCAGATCCCATATAGGGATGGCCAGTTCGCTCACTGGGTGAGCGTGGTGCTGACAACACCAAGTCAAGGGTTAAGATCCCCTTACCGGTCATCTTAAAAAAAAAAAAAAAAATGATTTGACCCTTTTTGCAAGCTAATGAGTTAGCCTGTTATGTTTCATGGATGCTGGAAAAAGACATGAGACTCCTGGTCGAGAGACAAAAGACTTCCTTATAGTCCAACAAGCAGCATGAGCCTGTCAGTTCACTCTTGCCCCCAAATCCCACAGATGTAATGGAAAGGGCCCAGATGGATGCTGCACCTGCAGTGGGTTTTGTTAAGAGGAAGGGGACACTGAGCTTGGGGAGCCTGCTGTTTCATAGCAAGCACTAAGCAAGTCTACTCTTTGTTCCAGAAGGTGGCATTACTTCATCAAAGTTGCGCACTGCAAACACATCCCTGAGAAATGGCCTACATGAAGAGCAGTCAGGGCCTTGAATTATTAGCATGCCCAGCAAGAATGTGCAGGGATGCTTAAGGCCCATAGTGGATCATTCTCCCAGCACCCCTGAGCTGTTCAAATAGCAGGGCCTGACCTGGCTGGATATTTCCACGTCCCCCTCCACAAAAGCTAGAAAGTTAGATCAGTCCAAGAATAGCAATTGTAGACCTAAATGCTTAAATGAGATTTTTTTTTACTTTGAACTTAAGGCCAAGAAACTGTAGGGTAAGTAACAAAGATGGGTGTTGGCCTATTACATTTCGAGACAGAAGATACCAAAACGTTAAAGCAATGAAAAGGTAATGGATAACATAAGGTTGAATGTCCAGGTCGGACTTAATTTTAAGAGGTACCTAGTCTGACCTTTGTCTAACTACTGGAGAAAAGGTGAAGATAAGAGTCTCTGATCACTGACCAGGTAGAAAAACAAGATGTATAGGGCACCCATCAAGTTGCCTAACTGCTATAACAAAAACAGGAGGTTTAGTTATATCACAATGTCAAGTCGTAGATGAGGATGGCCATTTGCATGGACTCCCGAAGTGAGGGTAAGTACAGCCTCTACCAGATCCACTTTTCTAACATCCCACCTATTGCCACTGAGACTACCCTGCCCCGTAGAACAAAAATCCATATAGAATTAGATTTTGGTCATCTTTTTCTACCTCCAGTGGATTTAAAGGGCTGGTCATGTGTGTACCTTGAAATCATTTGAGGCAAGAGCCAACAATCGGAGAACCCGAAGGACACAGCTGAAAGTGCTGCCCACACTTCTACTGATGCCTAGCAATCACCACAGAAGCCAAGACGCAGAGGTGGGGCCCGGGCACTAGCTCCTGGAGTATCACAGAGTAGATGACAGTTTTAAGTCTTTGAGAGGAAGATTTCATGATCACCTCTGGTAAGACCTGAGATCATATATGTCCTCTTAACTGCAGCTCTAAGTGATGGTGACAGGTCCTTAAAGGATAGATAGAGATAAAGCATGCTTGTAATATTTTGTGATAAACAGCTCCACAGGTTTTTCCCTCAATTTAATTTACCCAAACTCACAAAACTAATTAGTCAGCATTTCAAAAAAGATCTGGCTTCAAAGCTGTGTTTTCATTAAACTCTGCTGTCTCTGTGGTCTGTGAAGGATTTGTCCCCCATCATATATCTGAGTGCCTACTCTGCCTGGTAGTGAGCTTGGTTATGAAAAGAATTACTCTATTTCTCCAGAATATTATGTAGATTGAAAAAAGAACTTATCTCTGATACGCATACTTACAGAGAAACTAATTTCAGACTAAAGGGGAGGTGCCACTACTATTCAAGTGGCTTCTAGATCCCCCCTACAGCATTGCTGGTGGGAAAGAAGTAGAAAGCGGGTTCCTCTCTCTACACCTCACTGACTGAACTATTTGCAGCACGGCTGTGGCAGGAGCCTCCAAGATGGCTCCTAATGACCCCAACACATCAGGGTTGGTCCACATGACCAATACAGTGGAGCAGATGTGATGCTGTGTAACTTCCCAGACTAGCCCATAAAAGACATGGCCACTTCTGCCTTGCGCTCTCAGATTACCCTGGGAGAAACCTGCCACCATGTCATGAGGACATCCAAGCAGCCCTATGGTGAGGTCCCCATGGTGAGGTCCCCATGGTGAGGATATGAGGCCTCCTGCAAATGACCAGCCCCGACTTGCCAGCCATGTGAATGAGCCATCATGGAAGCAGATCCTCAGTCCAGTCGAGACGGCAGATGACTGCAGACCTAGCCAACAACTTGATGACAGCTTCACGAGACCCCCAAGCGAGAACCATCTAGCTAAGCCACTCCCAAACTCCTGACCCACTGAATATAATAACATGATATAATAAATGTTTAATGTTGTTTTTAGCTGCCAATTTGGGGGTAATTTGTTATGTAGAAATATGTGACTAATGTAATGACCAAAGCTGGTTTACCAAGAGAGAAACGGGGCCAGGCCTTTTGCCAAAACCCATCCCATTATAGGTACCTGGGGCAGGACAAAGCTGGCCTGCAGTGGAAGCTCAACTTGTCTCCAAAGCGGGGAAAAGAAGTCTTATGTACTTTACATACTCAAAGAATATAAATAACACTAGTTCCCAGCAATTGTTACTAAAACCAAGTAGAAGCTTCGTTGTTGGAATGGTTGCTAAAATGTTCTCAGCACATGTTGGAAAATATTTTAATGGATTCTTGGCTGGCAGGCTGCAGTCACGAATCCAAGTCTTCTCTCCAGTGGGTTCTCCGTAACTCCCAAAAGCTGGTGCGGGGGAGAGCAGCGGCTGGGGAGGAGCAGCTCTTCAGCAGCTGCAGCATGCCAAGATCCTGGCTTGGTTCCTGAGGCACCTGTTGTCCAAATCAAGCTCATCAGTCACTACTCCCTTCCTCCTCCCAGTGCTGGGAAAGTAGCTCAGATGCACAATTAATTCTGTTCCTGCTTAAGTCCCTGAGAAAATGGCTGCTGTGTATACTTTTGTCCCCAGTTTCCCTGTCACAGCATCTCCCAGATTAGGTGAACAGCAACTTTATTAGACCTGAGATCGACACAACATCTGGTGTTCTTTCCAGCCGTCTGGATTGAGTACTAACTTCGAGTCACCCATCAGGGCAGCCTTCAGCCTTAGCCTACGTTCTCATGGATGCTCCCATGGAGAACGAAGCCCGTGGTGCCTCTTCTGGTCCTCCACACAGCATGATAACAAAAACTCTGGCCTCCAACCATCCTGGCCCCTCTCCTTTTTCCTGTAATGCCACAGAAAACCCAGCTTAAGAGTTCAGCCAGGGCCGGCCCCATGGCGCACTGGAGAGTGCACTGCTTGAGAGCGCGGCGGCGCTCCCGCCAAGGGTTCGGATCCCATGTGGAGACCGGTTCCCACTCACTGGCTGAGCGCAGTGCGGGCGCAACACCGAGGGTTGCGATCCCGTTGCCAGTCCCCGGTACGGGCGCGACACCGAGGGTTGCAATCCTGTTACCGGTCAGTAAAAAAGACAAAAAAGGAAAAAAAAAAAAAAAGAGTTCAGCCAGAGGTGAACACTGACTGCACCAGGAGAGGCAGGAAGCAGCAGCTCAGGGTCTGCCTGTAGCGGAGCCCTTTCCCATTTGAAAGCTGCGCAAGCGGCTATTTCCAGACCTATAAAATGTTTAGTCCCACAAGTTTTGTGCCCTGCAGCTAGGAGAGATGCAAAGTGAGCTAAAGATATGGTCCACTCTTCAAGGAGATTATGATCTGAGGTGGAGGGGCCAGGGAGTTTACAGGCATGAAAACACTAGGGTCAATACCCCCAGCTGTACCTACACGTGGCCCTACGGTTTGGGTCACTCAGCATCACTCTCCACCTCACGCTGATGACAGCAGGGGCACCCCTAGTCCCAGCTGCTCTGAGCATTTTGGCTGTCATCACAGAAGAAGGATAACACTTTGTCACTGTACTTACAAGGAGCACAAAGGAAGGCACTGACTGATTTCTTGGTCTACCAATGGCCCCAGAATCTTGACTGTTTTGCTTTTACCTTTATTTCCTTTCCTAAGCATGAATTTTTAAAACAAAAATTAAAAACTTTTCTGCTTGGAAAAATATCCATCTTGGAAATTGGCATGTAGGATGCTTCTAGATAAATTTGTGTCAACATGATAGGTAAACATCTTGGCCCAGTAGTAAAGCAGCCATAACACCACTGTAAAAACAAGAGGTTAGAAAGTAATACCACCTTATGCTATGCCAGCATTTATG